ATGCTATGAGCTGCTATCTGGATGCGAAGGGTTCGTTTCGAGACTTGAGAAGCAAATAAGCGGTGGTATGCTACAGATAGTGTGTGACCTGCTGGTGTTCCTGAGTGAAGTCACTGGGAAAAGGCATGTCCATTTATCTGATCTTCTGTGCTTTGGGCCAGTTCAGCGTTACAAAATTGGCATCCGGGTCGCAATGGCTGGCGAAATAGTCCCCATCATATGACAATCATGTGACACGTGACCCGTATAAAATAAACACAACTTATTCAAGGTTCGCTCAGCAGGGCTCTCTCCCTCATCCGACCATTTCTAACCTGAATTATCTCGGCGGGCTCGCCCTCATATGCCATTCATAGCGGCTTGTCGCCGCGGCGGAAACGTTTATACCGTCTCGAGTGTGCTCCTTTTGGCGAGATGCTGGCCGATGTCTGAGTCGCCGCCTGTGGTCGCCGCGCTGTCTGGTGGGGCGAGACTGGACCGTTACAGGGGAGGGGAAGGGGAGGCGGAGTGCCGGGGGAGAGGGAGAAGGATGAATACTGTGGGCGGGAAGGAGTTCTTCGGAGAACAGAAGAGGAGTAGGTCCTCAAGCATCATAATTGGTTTTACGGTCTGAAAGTATTTTTATTATAAAATAACTAAAATTAGTTTATTTCTGTATGTGTACCGGAATAGGTATGTGCCAATTGCCAACTTTTTCATTCCCCATTTTGATTGTTATCATCGTTTATTATTGTTTATTAGAATTGTCAGCCACAGGAAAAATATTCCTTTTTATCTATTTTAACTGATGAGTAATGAAACGGCAGACGTAACGGATGCGCCACATCACCTTATATTGTTCCCTGTTCACTGTTCAGTGTTCAGTGTTCACCAGCGACAGTCGCCACAGACGGCCACGTGTGCTATCGGCTGTTGAAATCGACCAGCCAGGTGTCCACACATCTGTGGTGTGTCAGAGGGCAGACTGACACCGGGTCTGTCGGTGTCAGCGGGGTCCAATCAGGGACGACAGTGGCGGAAGGTAGCGACACTTGTCACCGCTGAACAGACACAGCCTGTGTCACTTCTTAACCCAGGTGTAAGGAATGTCTCAACTTGATGGCTATTCCTCATGCATTGATCTGAGCGTGAAGCAAAAGACATTTCGCTGGGACGAAATATTTATAACACCGAAATATAATTACAAACACTGTGCCCATTCAAAACTCGAACCAATGACCAAAGCATGTTCAAAACAGGCATCGACATAGGTATTTTGGAATGCTCCGTTCTCGGTTATCAAAATGCAGGTGTACCACATTTACAGCTGTGAATGCAGATGTCAGTGCAGCTGTATCGCATGAAACAAAATTATTACGCTGTCGAAATGTTGCTGTCTAAGGCTACCATGCCATTGCCTGAGTATCCACCGTAAAATCCGAGCATCCCCGTATCAGCGCACGGCCGAGTGTCTGCCGCACAGACTGCTCGGGTTCGGTCACGCGGCTGCGTGTGGCCCGACCGGCTGACTGCCGCCGCCGACGGCAGAGCAGCCGCCAATGGCAGAGTAGCAGACGGCGGATAGAGTAGCAGACGGCAGGGAGAGCGGGAGAGTAACCGAGTGGCGGCCGCTGCTCTATCGACCTGGCGCGCCGGGTGGCAGAGCGTGGTGACGAGAGGTGAGCCCGGAGAGAGAGAGAGAGAGAGAGAGAGAGAGAGAGAGAGAGAGAGAGAGAGAGAGAGAGAGAGAGAGAGAGAGAGAGAGAGAGAGAGAGAGAGAGAGAGAGAGAGAGAGAGAACAGAGCGAGAAGGAACTGAAAAATAATTATAGGAGAGGAGCGACAGGGTACGACTAGTCGCCTAAAATTACGAGGGAGGATTTTTGGAAGCAAAAGGAAACCAAGAAGTCCATAAAGTTCATGAACAGCGCAGAAGATCAAGATAATCTTGGATATGAAAAGACTGGTAGCTATTGGCGTGCCCGCGGTAAATACAAACTAGGTATGCAATGCAAAAATATTAGGTAGATGCAGAAGCAGATCGGCTATCTTACGGTTAAATAAAAGCGTATCGTGTAATATTTGACGATGTAATGAAGTGACTGGCACCATTGTATTATAAATGTGCTGTCATAATGCGTCTTCAGTAGCATTGTTCTACGTTAGTAGAAAAAGAATGACAATGGCATCTGCTGCATAAATGGAAGGCCTGGCCTTTTAATAGCGATGAGAATAAGCCGAGCGTATATACAAGACAGGAGAATGGCCCACGATAGAAGAAACTGATTGATTACCACAAATGAGCCATGAAAGGTCAGTCAGCCTCGGAGCACGACCCAGATGCCATAGAGGAAGCCGTCGGCCTGTCTCAGCCCCAGTGGCTGGACCATCTGCAGTTTTTTCTGGTGCTTCAAACTAGCTGGCAGTCAGAGCCCGAGATAAGTTGATTTGGTTGCAGCCGCTATGTCCCATAGCCAGGCCATGGATGAAAGGTATTCTTCCATCCATGGCCAGAACGACATCACCGCATAAATGATCCGGAACGCGTGGCAAGGTAGGCTGTGCCGCAGTGTCCGTGTGTACTGCGGTACAGCCTACCACCGCAGGCATCCGCTCGCCGAGCTGCCTCCACGGTACAGCTACGGTTTGGCAGACGGCCAGTGCCAGCACGGCTCTGTTTTACCGACCAACGCTCTAGACAATCCAGACCGAGATACAGGCATTTGTTAGACCAGGGATGAGAGTGATACCTTTAGAGACGAACTGCTTGTGCCGACTTTTCTTTGAATCGTGCGTCGTGGTCACGGGTAGCCGTATAAGCATACACCAGACATCGCTCGTTGATACAGGCATATAATGACCAGCTAGGAAGCAGTGGCATAGTACGAAATATGGACGAATAAAGACGTTTGATTTAAAGACTTACATAGAGTATATCTTTGCTTTTTTCAGTAGCTTACTAACGGCGTGTCATTTAAAGGGACCCTCTCACATTTAAAAAGTTAATGAATTGGCATACAAGTGGTGTCGCATGGTTCGGAGTGAGCAAAAATGAATATCTACCAAATTTCATTACAAAAAAGTATTAGCCAATTTTTTTAGATATTCGACAATTACCTTTGTTTATTTTTCGGAGCCTTCTCTGTTACTACGACGTCATTTGGAAGCAATAATTTGGAATCTTAAAAGTGCGGCAGATGTTGCGCGCGAACAGAATATACCAACACAGCTTCACAAAGATATTAGTATAAGATTTCAAAATCGCTAAACCTGTGCTGACGTCACAAATTCAGAGGGAGCATTCAAATGCATTGCCCCCTCTGAATCCAAAGTGCAGCAACTTTGAAATTAAATATCTTCGAATTAAAATCTTTCTGGATATTGTGAGTGCCCAAACCGATAAATGCGAGCCAGGGACCCCAATATGGCTATCTCAACTCAAAGCCAATGTTCGGGCGGGATGGTCACTTTAAGAAAGCTCTTTTAGCTTGCAATTCCCTCTAATGTTTCATTCTCATTCATACTCTGACTCAATCATACTCACTGTATTTCACCATCCATCCTGACACCCAGCACGAGAATAGTCCCCTTTCCGAGCAGAAAAGCCCCGACACTTTTATTACCCGAGTCCCCGCCAACGCGTCAGTGACATCCGGGCAATGGTTTATTCACCACTGGGCCGTGGACAGAAATGAACTGGCGCTGTTTCACCCTGTACTTGCGGCCGGTTTTCCTTTCTCAGTGGTGCATTGGCCTGTGCAGAGCGGGCAGAGAGTGGCGGTGACATGTGCAGAACGCTATATCTGGTAAGGGGTGAATGGTTCGGCCGATGTAAGGGCGTAAGACAGACATGTAGGCCCCCCAAATCGTCCGACCCGACACCGGCCGCATGGGTCAATAGGGAGAGCTGTGCTATTTTGGGCCACCGGAAATCGCATTATTTGCCGCATCATTAAAATGGTCCGAAAATGTCCAGACACTGACAACCTAAATCAATAGAGCGTTTGATTCGTTTATGTGCTATTTAGTTTGCCGTTGTAATTGGTCGTATTTATGTAAGTGAAGCCACTATAATGGCTCATGAGAGTCGGGACCAAATGATCGCAGTTATAACATTTGCTCTCTCTTAAACCAATTCATATGCACCAAATGTGATGCTTTTAATAGCATGGGTTTAGTGGACAGAATATATCTAAATAAATGATCTAACCCTAAGCTTTACCTACGTGTCAGACGTCAGACCAAAAATAAACCTGACATTCACTTACGATGTTCTTGCGAGCAACCTTTGCACCATGACGTCAACCTGAGTAATCCTGGGCCTCCTGGTATTTGCACAAACTTTTCATATTAAGTAATAATATTTATATTTATTTTTGTCTTCACTTTGGGCAACTTCTGCGGGTGGAGCTCACTTTGGTCGGGTTCAGGAGAACAGGTTTATATCTGACGGCGCGCTCTGAGGCGTCTGGCCCGGCATGTCGCGACGTTTAGTGGTCCGCGCGCCGTCCGGCCGGGGGCCGCGCGGCGCGCCTGATTTCCCGCGGGAGCGCGCCGCTCAACTGTGGGTGGCCATCAATCCAGCGGTGACGTCACCAGGGGGCCGCCGGTGACGTCACTGGGGGCGACGCGGCGGTCAGCGGTGTCGGCCGTATGTCGCTCAGTGTACCGAGAGTCAGTCAGCACGGCCGGCGGCTCATACCAAACACATGTGTCCGACACGAGACTGCTGGCGGTTCATCCATGGTGACCTGCGCCCGGCTTGTGAACGAGGAACTTCCTCGAACTCCATCTCGGAGAAGGGACATTCTCGCAAATACTTTACGTGTGGGTAAAGGATAGTTCCATGTTCAGCCCACAACCTGAGGTCATTCTCAAAGCGCAGAGACGTAAGGCTGACCCCAGCCCACTGTTAGCGCGAGCTGATATTATATTGGCACATCATCTCTGCATGAGCTCTATATGAGCTCTAGCCTCTATATGACCTATGTATGACCTCCATATGACCTCTGTGACCCACAGAGGAGCCGGAGGCGGCGGACGCGTCCCACTGCCGTCGGGATCTACTGCCGCGGCGACATACCATCGCCGGTTCTCGACCCGTGCTCAGACACTCAGACGCCATGGACCTGGACGTGAGTGGAACTGGTGGGCACAAGAGGAACCGGAGAGGGACAGGAGATAGATAGAGAAGTGGGAAAATGAGGAAGGAGAAGGGATGAGGGAAAGAGAGCAGCATGCGCTCTAAGCTACCTTGCATATGCTATATGCACTGTGCAGTGTGCAAGACGACTTACATACTCGGCCCACCTTCCAAGCTTTATCCATATGCCTATTAGGAAGCATTAGTAAGGCATTAGGAAGCTGAATGCCACACTTTCTACAAATTGTAGTGCTTAATCAAATTACGTCAAATGATGTCATGTGTCATTGCAAATCACTGCTTATGTAAAGTCACTTTATAATTGTTGGCTCAGCGTGTTCAACGTCAGGTCAAAAGAAGGCGATTTAGTAACGTCGAGCATATGAAGTCAAACATATTAGTGCAAACGCCTCTCTGACTGCATATTTGCGACACATGTGTAGAACCGATAAGACCGAGAAAAAAAAAGCTAACCGCCCGGTATAACAGCACGGCGCATGTGTGTGACACCTGACTAACCAGCCATGTCTAACAACCGCTAACCTACCACGCGTGCCGTGAACTAACCATCCCCGTGTGTTTGTGTGCGTGACCCCGGCCCGTAGAGCAACAAGAGTTCGTCCGACTCGGAGCGTTCCGTGCAGTCGCAGCAGGCCAACTTCCCGCCTGCAAAACCGGAGCGGCGCAGCTTTCCGCTGTTCTCGGGAGGTCGAGGCAACAACGCCCGGCAACAGGTAGGGCAAAGTGGGAAGGAAGAGGGATGTGGGGTTAAAGGATGGGTGATGAAAAGGGTGAACTGGGTACTCGAGGAGGGTAAGAGGGTATACAAAGTCGATGGAAAATAAAACAAGATTGTTGATAAAAAACGCAATATAGCATGTGGACACCAATTACTACAGTTATACCAGATTATAATCTAATCAAATAGACCGCCTCCTTGACATACCAAGCGCCCTGACTCCTCCCTGATATGATTTACAAATAGCACTTCTCGTCGTGTCCCGCTGTCTCAGCATGTGGCCATCACATGACCCAGCTCTTATCAGTCGAGCATCCGTCTATCTTCCTTTCTGAACTGTGTGACTGTTGTTTTAAAGCTACTTGGCAACTATCGGTCAGGAGAATGTCTGGGAAAGGCACTTCTCGCTTCGCCTGAACGGTCAGTTTACTTACTCACAAGCTTGAGAACCACCGTTCCGTGCTTCTATCCTCAGGATACTGAAATCCTTCTCCTCCACGCTGCAACCCCCCTCCGGGCTGGACAGGCAACTTTATCTTATGCGGGCTGCTCCCGAGGGAGCGCACCGCGTAGCCGGGTGCAGTGAGTGCCTTGGGGCTGGGTGGCCTGTCCTCTGGACGGGCTCAGCCCCGGCGACTCACTAGGGTGCCTGCCCAGACCAATGTCTCCCCCTATATCCTATCATCCTCCCGGCTCTGAAATGGTCTAATTGGACCGAAAGGGCCTAACCCAACAAAACAAACAAACTTGAGAACCATGATTCGACTCGGCAGTTAGCAGTAGGTATGGCACGAAGCAAGTCTCGAAGACGACGACAAGGAAAAGTGTCTCTAAGAAAAACTCAGATTCCCGGTGGCCTTTTAAGTACACTCATGAAGATGATGTCAGTTTTGTTTAAATGCCATGTTTGTACTGCAGCTGATAACAGTACAATAATAAATCGGGCACATCTAGAAATGCAGTCCAGTATTACCAACGTCAGCCCAGACTCTGCCAGTAATTACGCAGTCCTCTGATGTGACGCTGGCCGTCACAGGTGGTCACGTCACCGGTGTCACGTCACTAATCACAGACGAGATTGGCGTGCCGCACCTCTGAACAGCTGTCTGTCGGGCGGGTGCTGATAGGCGGAGTGTGCTCGAGCGGCCAGTGAGTACCGTGAGCCCACCCGGCCCGGTATCGGTGGGGCGTTAGTGAGGACAGGATCGTGTGAGAGAACTGGTGATGTGCTTGAATGGTATGTGGAACGCAGCAATTTTAGTAGAGTTTGAGAAGGTGTGAGTTCGAAGGAAGAGTTGGAGTGAGCGAAAGAGTGACGTGACATAAATCACAGGATGTGAAGGGTTTTGGGTTGGTGTGTTTGATGGTAGCCCAGAGCGTCACCTAATAAACAAGAGAAGTACTGTGAAGTCAGAACAGCCTGGCCGAAGGAAGTGGTGGTGTTGAAGCGGTAAAAGGGTGGAGCCCAGCAGTGTCGGCACTCAGCACTCACTGAAGTGCATTGAAGAAGTCAAGCTAACTAGCTGACCTATGTTCGGCGCTTTACAACGGGCACCCAGCGCTGTCGAGCCAATTTTCTTCATCTGTGACAACACATCGACGATTCTCTCTGAACTTGTAAACCAGCGTGCTGCCCAGTTAAGCGCTCCATAGCCAGTTCCACAGTCCGTCATGGCTGAGGGGGTCACCTCGCCACCAGACCAGCGCGGTCGGCCCGGTCCGGGAAAGCCGCCGCCATCCGCCGTTCTGCGAGTGGCCACTGGCGACTACATTCGCGTCTTCAACACCGGCGGTCAGCTGAAGAGTCAGTCGGCCATCCTCGACGTCGTCGCCAAAGACATGGCCACGACCTTCAACCAGGTGACCAGGACTGCAAGGAGGCGATCACGCTCCACTGGGGGCACCTCGTCCAGAGCGAAACTGAGTGTGAGAGATATGTCGCTAGAGAGACCCAGGACTAGACCAGATGATGACGTTTTCATCACAACTGAGGTCGGAAGATCGGACACTAAGCCGAGCACGCAGCGGCCAGCAATGTCCATCGCACCGTCAAAGGCTGATCCGGTCCAGGCGTCAGCCGCAGTGGTGCGCCGACGGGGTAGGGCTTCTGTCCGACCCGTCGACCGTCCACTGAGCGCGCCCAGCTTTGTGCACCTGTCGGAAAACAGCGCTCGACCGAAGCCAATTATAGGGAGCGCCTCAACGGAGCTGCCGCCAGACACATTGCCAGCCATCCGTGGAAATCAAATCGGCGCTCTGCGGACGCGACACAGTCCTGCCACATCCAGCTTAGAGGAGACGGATAGCTCGACGACCAGCCACCACATGGGCAGCGGCACTGCGCCGGCGGCCAGGGCGGCGACGGTGGCAGGGTATGAATACCCGCGGCCGTTGCGGCTTACACTGCATCGGCAGGAGGCACCGACACCGAAATACTCGCCCGGGTCACCGCCGCCGCGGCCGCCAGGTCACGTGACTCAGCCACTGTACCACAGCCTGCCGCGGACGAGTCGTCACGTGGTCAGGGAAGAGAGCTCGTCGTCACCTGATGACCGCCTCCGCCGCGGGAGACTTCACTCTGCTCCGGCGGAGACTAGCCTGCAACGACGGTCCTCAGACAGGGAGACGGCCGGACAGGTCTGTCCATCTGTGTGTTGTCGGTCGGTCGGTTCGTCCATCAGTCTGTCTGTCGATCTGTATGTCTGTCTTCCCATCCGCTGTCTGTCACCATCAATATGTCGTTTAATCTACCGGTAACTATCAGTCAACCAGTCTCTTTTCTCGCCGTCTCCTGTCTCTCCTGTGCCGTCTCTCCAGTTCGGATTCCAGTCTTCTCACCGTTTTCCCTACACGGAAAAGACGCCGCCGAGTGCCAGCGGCCCGCCTCGCCCAGACGCTCTCCCTCGCGTGTCTGCGCTACGTTGCCGGCGTTCCCAAACTGCCTCATAAGCTGTCTTTGACCCTCCGCCGCAGTAAGTTATGTTCGCTTCAGTTTCATCTTGGGAAGGTTTCGTAAAATAGTGGCTCTCCGGCAGAATAGCTAAGTTATGGGTTCGGTTGCATCGACATCAGCACGGAGGCCGCCTCTCAGCACGGCACAAATCAATGAACGGGTGACGGCAACGAAAGAAAACTGTTTCATTTAATGCCTTTCACAAACTTATTTTAAATTAGTTGTTTCCAAATCAGTTATATTTTGACGCCATAGTGCCATACGGTTTAAAGGTAGTGTGCCACCTTTGAAAGATTTCCCATTTTATTTTTCCTAGGATAAGAAGCTTCTGTTTTTACCTAATATCGCAAAAAAATCAAAAATGGGCCTGGAATAGTGCCTTTTTCGCCTAAAAGTTTATCGGTTTTTCGATATGTATAACAACTGTAGTGGGCTGACCTGCAAACAGGCGTCGGCAACAATCGCGAATGCGGCGCACATGTGACAATAAGCAAAGGTCATTATAGAGTTACGACGTACGGGAATGAGTTATCAGCTGTCTAATCGTAGACAGCACAATGTCGAGCCTTAAACTGTAAGCCTGTATTGGTATTGTTTCTTTTATTTGGCTGTCGAACATTATTTATGGTTCGAAATATGATTTTATGTAAAATAATTGATATGAAAAAGCCGTCTCTTAAGTTATGACCCCATTTCACCACACGCAAGTGGCAGAAATGACAATGATCAGCTGACGCATTTTTCTTGGCCGAAGTCAGAGCGCGCGGCCCGACGCACCACCACCGCACCACAAAGTATGAGCAGAAGCCGCGCCCAAAGCCAGGGCCCCGGTAACGTGAGGTAGCCGAGTCGGGGCAGCGTGCGCTGACCCAAGCCGGGGCCGCAGCTTTGGGCGCGGTCTACCGCATCCCCGCGAGCAGCCCCGGGCTATCACATGACACCGGGAGGAGCGCGGCCCCGGCTTGGGTCAGCGCACGCTGCCCCGACTCGGCTACCTCACGTTACCGGGGCCCTGGCTTTGGTCGCGGTCTACCGCACCACCTAACAGGCGTGTTTGAAACCGCAGGAGATGATGATGAACGGGTTTATCGAAACTTGATTGGATGAGCATATCGGTAATAGCGATTTCAGTGTGTGCATTTATTGTTCATAGTGGTGTGAAATGTGGTTGGGGTACGACCGACAACCCGTCGGGGCGAATTTCGCACTGGGGTACTCAAAATTTGAAGAATTTAAGACGTTTCCATGAGTTTTGAAGGTATGGATAAGTTCTAAAAATCCGGTTCTCCTTATCTGGGCCATTAACTCCATATGGTCCAGGAAAGCTGGCACACTACCTTTAACGCCTCGTGAAAAAGACTTTGAAGTGTCGAACATTTCCCTAATTAGCACTCAAAGTTCATATCTTGCTGAGTGGAAAATAAGCTGAACGTTCGAGTAATGAATTACACTAACTTCGATAAAATGGATTCTAAGATTATCGCTACTCTGCGGGAGTGATTTTGCACTTTTCCATAATTTATTTGTAGGTACCTAATATATATGCAGCTGCACACGTCCAATGCTCTAGCGTTAAAAAAATAAGCTCAGTTTATTTTTGTCCAATCTTTCAATCATCCCCACCGACGATCGTTAAATGCAGGGACTATCGATATTCATTTTCATTGCTGGTGACATCACCCGTTTACACATATTTCTCCATCCCCAGCCACGCCCTATCTCTCGTATATCATCGCTGCAATGCAGACTGCGGAGTGACTAAGATCGGCGCCCTCTGAACCTTGCACCCCCCCCCCCCTCCGATACCCCTCCCCTCTCCACTCCTTCGATAGCGTTACCATCTACCCACACCCGCCTGCAGTCACGATACTTGTGTTGGGAGTGATAGTGTACCAAGTGTCCACTACCGATTCGCAGCCGTGCAGGAGCCGTGCCCTGATAACAGATCGGAGGCGCGCGGCGGCGCCTTACAACTGTGACTTCCGCGGGGCCGCAATGTAAACGAATCCGCAGTATATGTAAATCACAGTAGAGGGTGGTTGAGAATGAATGACGATATGGATATGGTATTTAATCTGACCTTGATACATCATCATGCAAGCACGACCTCATCAACAACAACCATATAATGCACATATGTAATTTCTCGCTCAGAAATGGCATTTCGAACTTCCATCCCACGGTGACCTGCCATACCGTCAATACCCGCACCGTGCAATGTTCCACCTCCCTCTCATTGACATGTCAAACACAGGCCTCGCTCCCACCACGGTGACCTCTGACCTGACCCCTGGCGAACACAGCCGCCGGTGAAGGGCTACATGGGCTCCTTATCAACAATGACCTCTGACCTGACCTCTGGTGCCCCCAGTCACCGGTCAAGGGCTACACGGGCCTCCCGTCGACGCGGTGACCTCTGACCTGACCCCTGGCGCCCCCAGCCACCGGTGAAGGGTTACATGGGCTCGCCGTCGTCGTCGATGTTCGACGATGACCCGGGCATCATGTCGGAGGCGGAGACGGCCTCCACTGGGTTCCGGCGCGGTGTCAAGGTCCGCTCCTCGCTGCCCGTGGTGCGCACCACCTCCAAAACCATGGAGCGGCCTCTCGGTGAGTTGACCGACATCAAACTGTCTCAAGGATATGAAAATCCGGCATGTGTAGGGCATGAGGGGATTTGCGTTTATAATCATGCATGCGAGATCCAATGGGTGTATGTTTTGTGCGCTTGGTGTGAAGAATATGCAACTTTACTGTTGGTTTCTTTAGCCATCAAAGTGCTGTTACCGCGACGAACTAGGTCCTCCGGCCAATATCATTACATGACATCAAGCTCGATACGTGGCCATACGCACATCACAAAGAATACACTCCTTTATTCAGCCACATTTTCCCCTCCACGAACACTGCACCGACATCCTATCCGCGGCGCCTCTCGCCCAGGTCATCCAGTGGGCTCCCCTCGGTCGCACCGCGTCATTCACCGCCGCCTCATCACTCGGCGGCCAATTCGGCGCCTTGTCGCGCCGCTGCTCGCCACCCGCGCCGCGTCGCCGACACCCACAGTGGACTTTACCGGGCCCGTAACGTGGTCCCTCATCTGGCCAACTGCGGCCGTAAAGTTGGCCGCTACACACCACGGCGGGCGGACGGTGGCGGCCGGCCGTCTGCCCCCGGGCGGGGGCGGCGGCGGCGGCGGCGGCGGCGGCTGTCGGGGCCAGCTGGGATGGCTCGCGCTCAATACCGGGCCGACCGACACGCTCTGGCGGGTCAGATGTCCGACAGAGACGGTCGGGAACCCTCCGACTACCGGGGACAATCCATGGGCAGACCGCAGCCCACCAGTCTGAGAGTGAAATAAGCTGTCTGATAAACGGAGATGCAGTTTCTGAGAGTCATCGGCAGCAGACTGGCTGGCAAACTGGCTCTTCTCTCGGGCCGAATGAATGGCCGCCGGCGAACCCCAGGCTCAGACGGCTGCGCACGCCCGGACAGAGTACGTCAGCGTGACGTCATGACCGGGATGACGTCACTGCTCGGCAGCCCAGCCGCGCCGGAGGGCTGTGAGGCGCTCCGCGGCGGTTTTCAGAGGCGCGCTGTTGACAAGTAAGTCTGTAGACACGCAGCGACGCGGTGGGACACCTGTTGCCTTTGATCCCGCCGCGTCGCCACCGTCGCCCTCCCCTCCGCGACGGTTTGCGTTCGATGCTGACGCCGGCCGGACGTCTGTTGGAGACAGCTCCCGCCGGCGCTCGGTCGACTGGAACTGGCCCGGTAAGGTCACCGGGCTGGTATTACCGAGTCGAAAGGCGGTCGGCTCCGGATGTCCGACTCGGAATGTCAACTCGCTAATTATCGGGCTGGTAGGATTGTGGGTGGTGCCCTGAAAGGCGGTCGGAAGATCCGGGTTAACGTCAGATCTGTCGGGACCCGGAGGTCTCAGTTCGCTTTACTGGAGCGGGATGTTCGACACTGATGTATTCAACATTGTCAACTCATGCCAGCTATTTTGATGGCACATTACAAGCGTTTTGAAGGTTATCGATGTCAACTACATGAGCTTTGTGAAAAATTTGATGCCAACTTGTGGAACGGACAAATAAGCAATCTGACAAATTTTCCTCATTCGTTTCATTTAAATACTTGCATTATTATCGATGCATGGGACATTTCAAACATTATTTTTGCTCGGTATGGCAAGTGTAATGGGCGTTCTTTTGATGGCCCACACATAAAAACACTCCACGAAACCCTTCATACAAACCGTCCTCATCATCCGCCTCTGACCTCCCCCTTCCCTCCCTCTCGCAAGGAGTGGTGTTCCTGCAGTACCGGAACGAGACGAAGCGGGCGCTGCTGCCCAACGAGATCACCTCTCTGGACACGGTGAAGGCGCTATTCGTGCGCTCCTTCCAGCACCAGCTCACCATGGAGTATCTCGACTCGCCCGCCTGCAAAATCTACATACTGGACTCCAGCCGGGACGTGTTCTACGACATGGAGGATATCAGGTTGGTGGCAGATGGGAGGATGATGGATATCATTTCTTCGCTTACGGCGCTGTGCGCTGGCCAAATTCCAGTGATTGTTGAATCCAGCGGCCCGATTTTGAAAGAACAGTTATGTAGAATAAATAAAATATTACGGTAATAAAGTGCAGCAAATAACGAAATAAGCTGGACCAAGCACGACGCATTAGCATAGTAAGATCGGTGGAGACACCGTTGTATGACTAGACGTTTGAGGTCGTAGCTCGTAGAACAATGTGCCAGTACATATGCCAGTAAAAGGATGGAAAGGACGGTAACTTTGGTGTGGTATGACAAAACAGCAGTTCGTCTAGCAGTTAGTACGGCAGTAAGGTAGTGGACAGACCGCTGTCCGGCAGTAAGATGCAGTGTTTTGGCAGTAAGGTACAGTGTCAGTACCAGTACGGCAGTGTTTTACGGCAGTAAGGTACAATGGACAGACCGCTGTCCGGCAGTACGGCACAGTTTAAATACCGTATGTACGGCAGTGTTTTACGGCAGTAAGGTACAGTGGACAGACCGCTGTCCGGCGGTAAGGCAGTGTTTTACGGCAGTAAGGTACAGTGGACAGACCGCTGTCCGGCAGCAAGGCACAGTGTATTTACCAGTACGGCAGTGTTTACGGCAGTAAGGTACAGTGGACAGACCGCTGTCCGGCAGTGAGGCAGTGTTTTACAGCAGTAAGGTACAGTGGACAGACCGCTGTCCGGCGGTAAGGCAGTGTTTTACGGCAGTAAGGTACAGTGGACAGGCCGCTGTCCGGCAGTGAGGCGGTGTTTACGGCAGTAAGGTACAGTGGACAGACCGCTGTCCGGCAGTGAGGCAGTGTTTATGGCAGTAGGTAAGGTACAGTGTCAGTACCAGTACGGCAGTGTTTTACGGCAGTAAGGTACAATGGACAGACCGCTGTCCGGTAGTACGGCACAGTTTAACCCTCGCCCGTAAACGGCGATCTGCCACCTTCGCCCATGCAGGGGGGGGGGGGGGTTGGTGCGACCCCCCCCTTGGCGTTTGAAAACGGAGCGTCGTAGAGCTTAGCGGAAAAGACCAACGGATTGCTCTCGCCGAGATCTCGCGATTGGTGGTATATTTTTTGGTCCTAGGTCAACATTTGACCTACTTTTGACCGGTCAAAGGTCAAATTTTCGGAAAAATAGACTTTTTCAAATTTTCCGCGGCGATTGCGGCAAAACGGTGGGAGATATCGACTTGAAATCTTCACTATCGTGTTCCTTGATCAATTATCTATCGTTTGGTATGTATTTCGTTTCCCTTGCTCTAAAAATGGCGCGTTGGGAGCGCCGGAAGTCGGCAAGGTCACAGTCGGCGGCAGAAATTCGAAAAATCAAAATTTAAATTTTTGAAATCTGATTGTATTTTTGGATTTGGGATGTCCATTTGCTCCCTATAGAAGCTAATATTGCTGCATATTCCCATTGAGGTGACAAGAATTAGCAAAATAGTGGTTCGGGCACTTTTCAAAAATAGTACCGGACGCTGTTCCTCTTGTGACGTCATAGCTCCGTGACCTGACCTGACCCGGTCAAGTTTCTTATACCATATGATAGCCAATACTTGCCCCAACATGCATGGGAAGTTTCATCACGATCCATCAACCGATGTCCGTAACACCGGCAGGAAACCTCGGGCGTTGGCACTCAGTTTGTGAAAATCCGGCCGGAGGCTGTTCCCTTTGTGACGTCATAACTCCGTGACCTGACATGACCCGGTCAAATTTTTTTTTTATCAAAAGATGCGCAAGGTTTGCCCCATAAGGTACCCAAAATTTGGCGGCGCTGCGCGCCGCCGTTTTTGCACTATTTCCGAAAAACCTCAGGGGGGGTTGCACCAACCCCCCCCCCCTACATGGGCGAGGGTTAAATACCGTATGTACGGCAGTGTTTTACGGCAGTAAGGTACAGTGGACAGACCGCTGTCCGGCAGCAAGGCACAGTGTATTTACCAGTACGGCAGTGTTTACGGCAGTAAGGTACAGTGGACAGACCGCTGTCCGGCAGTGAGGCAGTGTTTTACGGCAGTAAGGTACAGTGGACAGACCGCTGTCCGGCGGTAAGGCAGTGTTTTACGGCAGTAAGGTACAGTGGACAGACCGCTGTCCGGCAGTGAGGCAGTGTTTACGGCAGTAAGGTACAGTGGACAGACCGCTGTCCGGCAGTGAGGCAGTGTTTATGGCAGTAAGGTACAGTGTCAGTACCAGTTCGGCAGTGTTTACGGCAGTAAGGTACAGTGGACAGACCGCTGTCCGGCAGGGACATTCGAGACCGGTCCGTGCTCCGTATCTTCGAGACGGATCAGCCGCAGTCGGCGCCCACCAACGGCACCACCTGGGACGACAACAGCTACTTCAGCGAGCCAGAGTTCGACGGAGACCAGCAGAACCAGCACGTGCACAAAACCAAGGTGGGCTTGTGAGCGGCAGAAGTGGCGGCGAAAAAGAGGGAAAGACGAGGGAGAGGGAGTGTATGAGAGAGCTCTTTGCCGGGGGCAGGGAGGGTATGAGAGAGTACGTGATACAGGGCGGACGTAGGGGGATTACAGTTGATGCCAGAGTCGGCAGGAGCGTCTTCCATAAACTTTTGCCTAGTAACTTATGAAGATAGCCTATTCGTGGGACTATCTAAAACAGCCGAACCGGATTGTAGCAACATCAAATTATTTCGAAATTGTTCGCTACACCCACCGTCTTCGCCCTCGTACCTCAGTTCTTGAGCAATCCAATGACATTCAAAGAATGACATTTACGATAGTCATGTAGGTGTAACACTGGGTGAGAAATTATCATGTCGAGAGAAGTTGCTCAACTCATCCACCCATGCTGAACCATTTAGGAATTCCGTAACTTTCCCCATGGCCATGTCGACTTTCTGACTAATTCACGTCTCTCATTGACACCATCACACTGCCCACAGGGAAAAGGCGACGCGTTCCGGATGCCCGGAGGACCGTACCCGGCGGGAGCACGGCCCGCGGGGACGTACCCGCCGAGGGGACAGTCCGATATGCCGCCGGCCAGTCGCGGCTACCACCCAGGACCAGGTGACCACCCGACCGCGCTGACGCCTATCGGGCGCGGGCGGTACTAGTCGACAACGCGGCCGCCGCCAGGGATAGCCGGCTTGAGCCGATGTCTGGCATCTAGTTACCGTATATCTGTCCATTTTGCAGCAACAAGAGCATGCTATTTACCTCACTAGCACCTCAAACTCGCTGCAGACTTGTTTTCTTGAACTTTCATCTGACACTAGCGTCTCTCTCTCCTGCCAGGCCCGCCGCCAAAACCGCAGCGTGCCGGCTGCGCCGGGGGCCGGTCAGGTCGAGCCGCCGCCGCTCCAAGACCCGTGTTCTACCCTGGAGACGGGTACGCGGGATCACCAGAGCGGGGCCGCGGCTACCCCTACCCCGGCGGTGCGGCTGGATTTGGAGACCAGTACTACCCGCCACCGTACCGCAATCCACTGGTGGATGAGGAGGCAAGGTAAGGCAAAGGGCACCAATCGTCGGGGGACGGATACACCGGGGCCGGCCAGCAGACGGTCGGGTGGCAGCGGTCTGCTTGTGAGGGTTATCTGTTAGTCTCTCTGACAGCCAGACACGGACTGGTGGGAGAGCGCCGCGAAAAAATCGTGTTTCAGATCGGTTAAATTTAACGATACTTCACGCCCCGCCATTTGCGTGACAGCCTTCTGCAATGTAAATACGAGTAGGTATCGCTGGCAGAGGTTCAACTATAATATGAATGGTAGACCACGCTATCCGACCACCGCACCACAGACCGAGGACCGTTTAAGCCGACTCGTTTAGCCGGGAAGCGGCGCTGACCGCCGCCCGGCATCTTAATGTATCGGTCTGTCCGGTCACGGCCGCCACCTCAGCGTTTTCTATCGATCGCGACCGGGGCGGGCCGGCGTTCTGCGCTGCTGGCTGGTTGTGCCGACCCGCCGTGTCCTCCGACACAGCTCTGCGCCAGTAGATGTGCGAGGCTTCAGCAGGCTGCCTACCCGCTGCAGACCGCGCCCTGACTATCTCTGTGCGGCTGGGGATGGCTGTCCCGCGCTTTGACTTATCCCGTTGTCCAGCTCACAGACGCCTTACCTTTCCTTTTATGTTCCCTTTATCTTATATTTTCGACAACACTAAAGCTGTTGATCACAATCCGCTAGTCGTTCATATGAAAGCTAATTATCAGACTCCACAAACAAATTCCTTACATTCCTCACATTAAATGCCATGCTTACTAAGTAGCAACCCTCGATATTTTATACAAATTTCCATAGAATTGATTGTTTTTATTACCCCATAATGCCTGGTCATGCTGCTATAGTTGATCTTCAACTTTCGTATATCTTCAAACACCTTAAACTACAGCGTTTACACAGCATCATTAGGCTATCTTACAATCAGCATTCACCCTACTCTGTCTCGGCTCTCCCGCCGGCCATTCGGCCCAAGTAACTTCCGTCGGCTGAGCAGTGTCCTCCTCTCTATTCTCGCAGGCTGGCCGGGTTCTATGACCCCGCCCCCGCCAGGAGAGCGGCGGGCGGCCGACAGTTCGATGACAAGTACGCTGACCCGCCTCTGTCCGTCACTCCCTGCTTGCTCGCTCGCTCGCTCGCCGATTTTTGCCTTCACCCCATTCCCCGTGTCGCGCGCTCCCCCTCCAATTTTTCACAGCAGTGTGAGGTTGCAGACAAGCTTGATAATATTTAAACGCATGGCAAATCAGAACGATATTGACGCTGGTTGTTTAGATGACAGGTACGCGACCTAAATCGTAAGCTCCCGCACCTAAACTGGACGTACTTTTCGGCGTATGAACGGCGAGTGCATGAAAAGTAATCGTTTTTTTTCGTAGAGGTTCATGATGTTGTATGTTTTGTCGTGATTGTCGTGGTTTTGATTAGCTCTGTCGTGGTAAAGTGACTTCTGTTTGCGTGCCGTGAACAGTTAAATTTTGTGAGCTGTTGTCTTTTAGTAGCTTGAACTTGTGGTAAATGAGTTGGAATGAGTGTTGTCGCATTCAGTGATAAAAAGCACACGGTCGCCGTAACCATCGGGTGTCCGTTCAAAAACCATGCCCATAAACCGCAAACCTCGCTATCAGACTCAAACGTTACGATTGCCACTTTATAAGAGCCGCCCGCGGTGAGCAACGGCACGCTACGCCGGGAGCTTCCCGGCCCTGCGGCACAGTCTACTTTCAGGCGTTACTACTAACGCCACCTAGCGAGAGAAATGCACGACGCGTCCTACCGCGGGCGTTAGCCACTGCTAGGAGACTCAGCCCGTGTCTGGCAAATAGCTGGATAGATTTGGGGGCTTCTGCTACATTAAGAAGTTCCTTTATACAGTTGCTATAATTTTATGATCAAATGCTACTGATGTTCTTATGCATTTTTATGCATAAGAATCGCCTGGAATGTTCTATAGGTCAATCATTTCATTTGCCTCAAAATTCAGAGTCAAGATACAACTTTTTTAAGACAAACAAAATAATGTCTTTTCATTGAAGCCATGTTTGAAATAGTTCCCGATCAGCCTCGAGCATCAGTCCGTCGATCACCGTTCAGCGTCCGGAACGGAAATCCGCCGGCATTCACCTGTGACCTTTGGCAGCCTGAGGACCTGCGGCGAGCCGTCTGACCTCTGTGCCTCACGACACAGAGTGCGTGTGGAATCGATGGAGCGACAGCTGGCCAACCTGACCGGGCTGGTGCAGAAGGCGCTGCACACGCCGCGGGTCAACCGAGCCGTGTCCGACCTGGACTCGGGCTATCGGAGCGACCGCGAGACCTACCACCGCACTCCGAGCGGTGAGTACGATGAGTCGGAATTACTACCAAACTGTGATCGACCAACTCTTCTGTCTAAGAGTGAGTGGCCAGAACAAAGCCCAAACCAGGGAGTGGTGAGTAAGCTAGTCATATAAGCATACGAGCATTACGATGCCAGCAACGAGACGAGATACCGTATTAGATACGGTATCTCGCACACAATACTAAACTCCGAGAGGTAAAAGCCCGGATCACGGGCGGCTAGACGGGCAGTGACAAGGTTTGGTGAGTGGTAACGCTTGCTAGTGAGGTTGAAGTAAAAGGGACAGTGTGCTACAGGCGTGGCTGTGTATGTTTATGTGATAGCGGTAGATTGAACGTTTAACTGTCGTTTCTTTTAAACTGTAGTGCAAAATAAACGATAGTTTCTGTAGTGCATCCATAGAGATGCACTTCTTAACACCTCCTAAACAACGAAAGCCGTATGAATAAAGCAGAAGCGCAATAAATAACCATAAAATAACTTACCAACAATACATAATATATTGTAAATAGAAAAATAGGTACGCGGAATGTAGCAACTAGACGCTGTAGAGTGTCGGTCTCGTCGGCCCGTCCCCAAACAGCATAACCAGCCCAGAGGTGGTCACTGAACAGACCACCGCCCGCTCTCTGTCGCCCAGTGAGTGTGACCCAGTGTGCCATTTTGCCCCGCCCAGCGCCCCGCCAGTGTGGTTAGCCTCGCTTAGATGACCCTCTGTCGTTGCAGCCAATAGTAGTTTTGAAGTAGAGACCGAGTACCGGCCGCCACCGCCGGCCATCCCAGGTGTGTGTCGTTTTGTCCCGCTTTGGAGCACAGCACCGCTGCATGCCCGGCCCTTCTGAGACTATAGTCTCGGTGTGGCGCTATTTATCGGCTGCCTATCTGCGGTGTCCACTTGGCGCTCACGCTGTGCATATGTAGTTGCCTATACCTGTACAGATGTAAATACTAAATATGTTCACAAAAAATATGTTTTCAGTTTTCTTTCAAATGCTGTGCATTTGATAAAGCTGTGCATTTGATATACAACATAATAAGTTATTAGGTGCTATTAACGTTCATCTTCATAATTCATACTCATTCGTACCGCATACAATTGCTAATACAACTCATGCTTTGGCTGTATCTCTATATGCTTACTTATTTGCAGCTTTTGGTAAAACTTTCGTGACTTCAATTTGGTTCACCAGCCATGCCTTAAAATTGTCTTGTCTTCCAAAATTTAACCGTCATTTTAAGCGTCGGCAAATCTTAACTACATAAAATAAAGCTTCAAAACATTTGGGATTCGATGACTGATTTGGCGCATGGTTTTATAATTCCGACAACTTACTTTTAAACCTTTATCAATGTTCTTTAAACATCAAATTTCCTCAAATATCAGAGCTATTGTAACATGTGTTGTATAGCCGGACTTAATCTATATTTTGCCATATTTTGCATGTAATGTTGAGAGAAGTGACACTTTTAATTGTTCTATACAGTCTAACCCAACTTTGGATAGGTGCATGGTCTATTTTCATCATAAGGTGTACCTATGCTCTCAAAGTAAGTAGGTAAACATGCGTCTGCCTTTGACACTTTTTCTGCAATAACAATCACTAATCAATGCAAGTAGATGGGAATCTGGAATGGAACGTAAAACGGAACACGGTTTTGCGATGTACAATATCGTTAATCAACTTTGTACAAAATGTAACTACTATATATGTAGACACACCAAACCATCCAGTGTAAATATGTACCCTGAACAGTCGTGCTGTAATGACTATCCGCGGTCCGTGTCTCTCCCCGTGACCCTCAGTGATGGTGGTGCCCCCCCCCCCCGTTATAGTGTCGTACTGTCGTAGCCTTAGAGCGGCGCCCCACGGGATCCGGCGCCCCCCACGGGCCGAGCATGTTCCCGAGTCTCTGACCGTGATATCTGCCTTTCAGACGACCATCTCCTAAAACCTGAAAAGCCTCCAAAGTTAGGCCGAGGCAAAGGTACGCAACGCCAGGCATGGCCACAGGAACGATACTGAATGATTGGACTGTTGCTCGCCATTTCTGTCCCGTGCAGCAATCTACATTGCGAGAGAATGATTGCATTCGTCTTTACTCTGCCAATATCTATGCTTCAACTCTACTCTTCAGTCCTTACTTCTTCTGTGCATTATCAGTGATTTCTATAATTGGCCTGCAAGTCAAAGGGTTGTTAAAACATCTGTCGGCTGATTGGTCAGGGCTGTTGCTTTGCATTGATGAGATCATACCACGCGAGTCTTTATTGCACAATAGATACCAAAAATTGGGTTCAGATATAACTTAAGAATGAACGCCTGAGGTGGATTTGATTCTCAGAAACCATCCGGTCACTCAAATGGGCAAACAAGCATTTACGTGTAAATGATCACAGTGGTGGTAATATCAAACTGTACGAGTACAGTGCTGTACATCTCTATATACACCTCTATACCTCTATATACACCTCTATATACACTGTACGTGTACAGTGAGGAGCATATAGAGGTGAAATTCAGCATCGAATTGTGGGCAAATTCTGTGCATAAATAACAGTCAGTCACGTAAATGGAAACATGACAGTTCGTATAAAAATGGAAACATTAACATGACAGTTTGTATAAAAACGGTTTATACTTATTTCGCCGAAATATACTTGATATAACTAAACATAGAAACGCATGAATCGGAAGGTATGAATTTGTATGTCCACATTTCCAAGTAACGACATCAGTCGAACTTTGAACTTTCATTTGTCGCATGAGATAAGGGTGCCGTTTTCACACATTTTGTTTCAATCAACGATTCGGTCATGGGTGTTGCAAAGAATGATTCAGATGAACAACCATACACAAAGCAGCGACAGCAATCTGATGGCATCTACATACATACTTGCCTGAACAATGAACATGATCCGTGATTTCAGCATGGGACCTAAAAAAAACTCGTTGGACATTGTTTTGTTTCATCGGAGATGCGTAGTGCTGACGTGTATGAATGCCTGATCGGTATTCGGTGCATTCCTTGCCTATGTCTAGCTCATAAGGAAATGTTGTATTTTTTGTACGCCTGATATTTGATGTACCGATCTGAAAACAAACGTGTCATATCCTTATTCATCGACAAGCATGACAGAAACATATGCAAACATACGCACTTGCTAATCTCCTTTAGACTTATCGATTTTCAATTCATCATGGATCATGCTAAAGTAAAATAAATCCAGCCGAAACGGTGTGTTTACATAAAAAAGACATTCTTGAGCACGGACTAACATGCAACGACGTGAGCATTTTTCTTATGCTCATTTGCAATGGCTTCTTCCGCTTCCTAAGTAGAAACGTGCAAGTGCTTTAGAAGAGGCCGCTGCCGTGCGGTAACATTCGCTTTACTAATGTGAGCTGTCACTTGTCGGACTGCACAGGGCGCTGTCGATTATCGACTGTATAGTACCAGTATAACGCCTTTTGGGGCGACTAACGGAGCGAGCGAGAGGGTGGGCCTCGCACGTGCGAAATTGCGAGGGGGTACCTCCAACTGACTTATGCACGGCACCCTGCTAACCGGTCTCTAGCGACGTGCCAAATTTGGGCACAATCGGCCCAGCCGTTCTCGAGATCTGGAAGCGGCACCCTGCACGTGCGCACGTGCAAAATGGGTCCCAACTGACTTGTGCACGGCACCCTACTAAACGGTCCCTAACTGTGTACCAAATTTGAGCGCAATCGGTCGAGCCGTTCTCGAGATCTGGAAACGACCCCTGCACGTGCGCACGCGCAGCAGCACCCCAACTCTGGCACATGGATATGCAGTGCCTAGTGGGTGCCTACCTACATGCCAACTTTCAGCGCAATCGGCCAAGTAGTTACCGAGATATTGCAACAATTACAAAAGTGACACCTCTTCGTTTTGCACGTGGCACGTGCATAAGGGGTCACCCGCATGCATCAGGAATAGTCCAATGCTTGGTAGAAGGAATGAAGCTACCCTACAAAAATTACCGCGTGTAAATCGGTCAAGTGGTTGCTGAGATATAAGTGTCGCAAAAGCGTGACCACGGCCGGCCGGCCGGCCGGCCGGCCGCTCATACTCAGAAATTTCCGTTAATCTAAGGAAAGACTACGCTCGCTTCGCTCGCTCCGTAATAAAGTTCCTACCTAGTTACTCATCTGTCGATTTTTCATATCCTTTTCATGCTTCCTGAACTTTGGAAGCTTTGGAAGCGGCATTATGCACTTTTTGGAATTGTCATTACAGTTCTATGTTTTAAAGCCGTTTTGGATGATGGTATCTATGCGTTTTTTAATTCGTCTCCATGATCCAATTTTATTTCACAACTGCACTTGCATTATACTGGACCCAATATCATTTCACGACTGCACTTCTGTTATTGCGTAACTGATATTTCCTTTGCTTAAGAATTATTTTATTAGACTGTCTTATCTCTCGTCCTCCGTACTTTTGCACACTCACGATTCGACTTTGGTTGGTTCCCATTTTTATTACGCATCTACCAGTCAGCATGCGTTTAATTTTTATACCCCGACCGTAGCCAGCCAAGCAGCAACTATCGGGATGTTCCAATTCCCGAGGCTCGTGGTAACAGCTGCGTCTCCTTTGCAGACAAGTCGGTGTCTTTCGAGAAATCGGTCAGCTTCAGTGACGACCACCACGACCCGCCCAAGCAGCACTCACCGACGCATGCCGGTGAGCGTCCGAGGACAGGTCACCAGCGCACACATCCGCTATTTGAGTTCGGAAGTGGCCAAAATGCGATAACTCGTCAACCAGTTGACATTTTGCCAAGGAATTTTTATTATATGTGAAGTAAACCTTAAGGTCACGTATGGAAACGTATGAGCATCCTGCTGATCCAGCATTGCCGTAAAAATATTTTTGCTTGTAATCCGCGGATAACTGGTATATCCCATAACGGGTGACTCGGGAGGGGATTCTGCATAGCTTCCCCATGCTGTCTTCGAAACTACTCGTTCAATACTAAAAATTCAAACGGCTTCTGATAGGAATAGCTGACAAACGAAACCTAACTTTGTCACAAAAGGTCATGGAAAGGTCATGGGTCACAAAAGGTCATGGAAAAGGTCATGGAAGGAAATGTATATGTTACAGGGAGTATGCGATTTCAGTTAGTTTGCAACGACCCTAGGGTGGTTGTAACCTCCCTGAACGATCAGTTTGTTTGCAACGACCCTAGGGACGTTACAAAATAACTGCTCGTTCCGGGACGTTGTAACGAAACTAGGGTCGCTGCAACCTCCCTAGTTAGTATGCAACGAACCTAGGGTTGTTACAAAATAACTAGGGAGTTTAAGAATTCATCGAGTCTCGTTTCACAGGAGAGCCGTCAACAATCTTGTCCAATGAAAATCGTGTTTAATCTAGTTCAGTTTAAAAGAAAAGGAGAACAAAATTTGAACATTCAGCTCAGGAGCATATGTCGTGCCCGGGACAAAGCACGTACCTAACTGTGATAATTTTGGCTGCATTATATCGCCAGCATATGCTTACATGTAGAAAATATAGTTACTGGGGTAGGTGTGATGGATATCCGTCGCTATCCGTGTGCGGGTTATCCCTCACACTTTTAGGGGTGCGGGCCGGATAAAATCCCTCGTTTTTCGCGATTATCTCGCGCTAAAAGTGGCCGATCGTGACGAAACTTTGAGTGTCCTCGGACTTATCTACGTTACTGGTTACACATTCGCTATACAGTTAATGATCCTGAAACCAATGACCTTTGACCTTTGATCTGATTTCTGAGACCATGGCAGACCGAAATGATTTGTCGTTTATGTTAACGCACATAAAATTGCGTTTCCAGACTTCTATTGGGATTACATATAAACGTGCCAGCATGTGAACTGATGGTTGTCCCATGCATCGTGATGGGTTTCAAGTTGACTTGTCAGTTGTCTGCCAGGTCAAGGTCATTGACGTTTGGTGACTTCGGGTGACTGTTTCAAATTTTACGATTTTAAGGGATTTTTTTTAGCTTATTTCGAATCCAGCATTCGTTGAGACAGTTGAGAAGTACGTATAATTGTGGTGCCAATGCAACTTGCTACGAAGCTGTCGCTGGTGGTTTAGGTACACCTGCTATAAACAGGTGGTGCGGGTGGGACCCCTACTACTTGACCAAAACTTACCTAACCCAGCCTAGCTTAATCCTCGTCCCCCTCCCCTAGTTTTTTTTTTCGCGATAGCTCCGAACATGCCAGCAACAGAGAGCTGAAACTAGGCATACCTGACCTTTGATTCAAGCCGGATCTTGTGACACCAACCAGATTTTCAGGTCAGGTCAGGTTACTGACCTATGACGTCATAAGTGGACGGTCCTCAGATGCCGCAACTTCGCAACGCCCTCAGTCCCAGAGGAGCTTTTACAGGGGGATGAAACTTACAGTACGTGCATCTTCCAGAAGCCTCACAACTTGTACCTCTAGGATTTTTCCTAAAGATCACATGAGGGTCAGGTCGGTCACGTGACCTAACCACTATAAGTCAATGGAGAAAAATGAAAACTGCTATTCTGGCGCCGGGAACGATCTCAAACTACCTCAAGCACACGGATCGTGAATTCATGCACTCCTTGCAAGGTTAGATGCTTCAATTTTGCAACTTTTCGTCAATAACTCCCGATCAAACTGAGCTAGCGAGTCGGTCAAGCCACCAATGGACTGAGGAAGAGCTGCCGAATCGAATAATATGCCACACGACCTCCTTTGACCAATTTCGCGACCTAGGTGTCTCTGACCTGACCTTGACCCGAGGTCAACACCTCAAGTTGACCTCACCCGAACAAAAAGTACCTATACCATTCGACGCGCCTGAGCAAGGCGAGCACGTTGATGCTAAAATCGCCCTCGGCGACTGTTTTTTTAAGAAGTTATTAATCAAAAACCGAACCCGTGTGTTGGGTCACTTGACCTGACCTCAGAGGACACCGGTTGACCTGAGACCTTAAAATCGGGTACTAGTTGCTGTGTCTCCTAACGGCACACACGCTCGTTTTTTTCCGCGACGCTCTAACTTCATCAGGGGCGAAAAACGACGAGGGGGTCGTACCAACCCTCCCCCGGCCGGCGCGCATGTAGAAAACCAACAGGTCCTGCGGGGTCAACTCTCGCCTTTATTGGTGTTTTGCTAGCCGCAAACGCACATGGCGGGGCTAGGTTATTGGTTGACCTTCCAGGCCAGGTCAGTGACTCAAAAGTCGGGAAAATCGGGACCTGTTAACCCTATTCCTGGCGGGGGGGGGGCCTCAGGAGCCCCCCCCCCCCTGAGGTTTTTTGGTTATATCTCCCAAACGCGTTGAGCTAGGAAGCTCAAATTTTCTGACTTTTCCTAAAAGGCTTCTACGCAACAGGTCTGAAAATTTTGAGTTGATCTGACCTCAGGTCAGGTCACCAGAGGCGGTTTGGTGACGCTACCTCAGAAAAGTTTGCAATCACGCCAGAGCTAGAGTTTTTGACCGATCAATTTCTTCTCTTCAGGGTTTAGTAAGGGTACCAGTATGTGCAATTTGTATATCTCGGAATTTTGATATCGGTGACCTAAGGTCAGGTCAATTTCGCGACCTCCCCATTATAAGTCAATGGGGGAAAAATCAACTCCCTGTTTTTACCACTAAAACGGGTCGGAATGGCCCCATATACCATACATGACTTCATATACGATCAACCTTCACTACCTTGAGGTCTGTTTTGCTGTTGGGCAGCTGTGAGGTCATGTGACGTCATCAAAGGTCACCAAAGGTTTTTGGCCAATAACTCCGTACAGGAACAAGATACAGACGCGTGGATGGTCTCATTGTGTTCAGCTCGTCAAGACGCATCGAATGATATACATGATGACCTCGAGGTCACGTGACCTGAGGTCAACCTTTGACCTTGCCCTTTCGAGGTCAACATATATATCATTCGATGCGGATTGACGAGAGGATCACGATGATGCCCTTAGTTTGTTCCTATCTTGACTAATTCGAAAGTTATTCGAGAAAAACTCTCTCCATATCTAGTGCCGCCATTTTGACTTTTTCGACCCCTGTGACGTCATCTTTGACCTGACTTGAAAATGACCTTAGTAAAAATTGTAGATCTTGGCCGTGCGTATCCGATGCCGTTTACCGCTTGTCGCTATCTTGCTTCGTTCTCGAGATCTCAGGGGGGGGGGGCCGAATCGGCCCCCCCCCCCCCCGCCAGTTTCTTGTCCCGGCGGAGCCCGCCAGGAATAGGGTTAAAGAGAGTTAGGTTGTTACGGGGTGCTGATCACGAATTTCATATTAGCTTTGATCACCGATGATGTCTTGATGTTTTTAGGCCAGTTCGGGTCAAGTCAGGTCAGGTCAACCAGTCTAGGCGTCTTGCTAGCTGACCATATAAGGTGTCAACCAACACTGACAGCTTCGTGACCGGGTACGAAGGCGCCAACATTACTTCGTAAATGTTCAAATGGATGCTAAATTCGAAATCAGCTCCAAAAACTAGCCTAAAAATATATGAACCCAGAAAAAGTGAACTAAGGTCATCAAAGGTCCCGCCGGTCCCGTAGCTCAGTTGGTAGAGCGTTGGACTCCGCGTGGTGAGAGCACGCGTTCCCGGTTATAACAGTCCGGGTTCGAAGCGCGACGGGCGCTCGACATTTATGGGCCTCCTGACAGGTATGGTTGCGGTTGGTAGCAGGCCGTAGCCAGGCGAAGTCAGTGAGGGGACCGGCCGTGCGCGGCTATGTGCGCACGTTAAACTTTGGACTCTAAATTCTGCCATAGCACTGGAATTGCGCGATCGGAGGGTAGAGGGCAGGGTCACCGCAACAAGCTTCGCTTAGCGGTGGCTCTGTCCTTGTGAGTCCTTCCTATCAAAAGGTTCGGACTAAATTTATAAAAAAATTAAAATAAAAAAGGTCAATGACCTTGACCTGACCTTCACGTGACCTTGACACCCACCATAATGCATGGGACCACCATCATTCCACATGTTTGAACGTTTACAATCACAAAAAGATTGAAAACGAGCGGATAATAGCCGTTTTTACGAAGGCTTCCTGGCGAATGACCATCTAATTTGAACAAATCTGCACCAAATGTGCACCTAATCTGCACAAAATGTGTACTTGATGGCCGTCGTGAAATACACCAGAGCTGAATGTTCAAATTTTGTTCTTTTCTTTTTAAATGAACTAGATTGAACAAGATTTTCATCGGACAAGATTGTTGACGGCCCTCCTGTGAAACGAGACTCGATGATTTCTTAAACTCCCTAGTTATTTTGCAACAGCCCTAGGTTCGTTGCATACTAACTAGGGAGGTTGCAACGACCCTAGTTTCGTTACAACGTCCCGGAACTAGCAGTTATTTTGTAACGTCCCTAGGGTCGTTGCAAACAAACTGATCGTTCAGGGAGGTTACAACCACCCTAGGGTCGTTGCAAACTAACTGAAATCGCATACTCCCTGTAACATATACATTTTTAAGGTCATGCGACACATCTTTAATGGTCCATTTCGGCAAAAGCATCTAAAAATGATGTCATCTGGGTCGTCCGATTCGAAACTATTTCCTTTCGACAAATGAAGGTCAGGTCACGGCGAGGTCAAAAGGGTCAAATTTTGAAGCTGAACATTCTCAACAAAAAAGATGTGCATCGGATGCAATTTGAGCTCTGGAACACGATGATGCTATTCGTTTTGGTTTTCGATGTCAAGAACGTACTGAAATTGCCTTTGCAATATCGAAAATTGTGATTAACCGACTACGGTAAAATGCAAAAGCCGATAACATTGCCATTTCTGAAGATATCTGACTGAAACATTCCAAAAGCAATGCAAATGTTACATACAAAAGCCAATAAGGTTCATTCTGGTCGATGGCTGCTCCCCAAAACTCTGAATGTTATCAACCATATCGGACATTCTTACGATGTTCTGTTGGCTGGATGTCTTTTTGCTTTATTGAATTTGATCGGACTACATTCAGTTAAGACGACGTACATCTATTGGTCACCAGAAAGTATACCCACAAGTCAATCGACAATCGACAACCAACAAATGCAATCGACACGAGCGTCGAACACCCCTCCGCACAAGTAACTGCCGGGGGCGATTAGAAGGACCGCGCTCCTCTCTCGCAGCTGATTGGTCAGCTGCCGAACCGCACAGACGTCAGCTGCACGGCCGCCGCCCGGCCGGCCTGACCGGGGTCGGCCGGGCGGCGACCTAGCGTCACTAGAACTGTAACTTTTGCCGGCAGTGTGATGCCGACCTAATTTTTTCAGCAAATGAATCACAATTGTACGGTATATGTTATGGACGTTGTCTCGATGTGAAGCACGTTGTGCGTTTTTTGGTAGGCCTATGTAAATATTGAAATCCTCAAGCCCTTCTGCTTTGTGCAAGTGTGCAACAATTAGCTTACAATAACTGATTGGGAAGTTTTTTAGATGCACTTTTGTTACAAATAGATTCCTCACATTTTCCCCTTTCAGCTGACATCTTCCTTACGCATTTTCAAGCAAAGAATATGACAGGAGACTCGTCAACATTTACATGAAAATCGCAGCACAAGTTCGGTCTCACGGAGCAAAACAAAACGGTGTACTTTGGGAGCCCACCAATCTGTGCCAGAATGAGTAATATTTTTTTCTGGATGATATTTTATACAGTCTGATCAATTTACGACCATAAAATGTGAGAAAAGCACGCTTTAAAATTTGTCGAAAATTAGGGTATTGGCCACTTCTGAACCCTGATAGCGGCTGTGTGCAGCGGTCAGAGACAAGGGGTCGGGCTGTTACATGGCTCAGCCGTTATTGTCTCACGTCTGGTGACACAAATGTGAGGTTGAACCGTGTGAGAACTCGAGAGGTGGGAAGCTCAACCTGACCGTCGTCCTCACCGACCCGTGATGCTTTTGTTTCAGCGGACAAGGTCCCGGTAAAACCGGCGATCAAGTCATCCACGCTGCCACGAATGGGATCCCAAGGTTAGTCGAAGCCGACCTCATGAAGCCGCACACAGACCTCATGCAATAGTATTTATATCCGTTCATAACCCATGTTCTCTTTATAGAAATAGCTGTACATAATTCGGTATTTGAGTAAGACAAGATCTAACTAAAAACACGCTAGCAGAACTAAAAGGAACACGTTTACTAACCACTTTTCAAGTAGTTGTATCACCTAGTAGCTGCAATACTCGAAGAACATTCATATCTAATTACCAATCAGAAGTGACCGGAGTCCCAAAGAGCTAATCTGACCGACCCGGCCCGCGCCCGCAGAGCGGATCAAGCCGCCGCCGCCGCCCAAGCCGGCCATCCTCACTACTTATGAGAGCCGGCACGCCGTCGCGTGCCGAGGTAGCAGTGCCATGCGCCTGCTCTATCAGGCCCTTCTCAGCATGATTTGTTGGCACGCTGTGGTGGATCGGCTATTTTTGGATACACATATTGAAACTTATTGTTTTGGTTGGTGCTACCTTGATTGAGCACGAAGGACATTCGAGGGCAAATTTTGCCTATGTATGATGGTGCAAAGGCATTTGGAGAGCAATTCATCCTTTTGTTGATTCCAGTTTTGTTATTATGTTCAGGGATTGACGGATTAATAGTTATTGTAAACGCAACAGATGTGTCTGTGTAGGCAATGCATGATTACATAACAATTGCTTCAGAGAAAATGATGCCTATTTTGCGAGTATGAAGCAACGCGAGAAATGCGGCACCTGTTGCTTTGAGTAGTTAAAGTTTCACGTTATTTTGATCCGCTTCAACAATTTTTTCTCGACTTGGCATTTGCATGTATGTTAAATGTTAAGCGTGCCATGTGCGTTATCATACACGGAACTTTCGAATCTCGACCAGCCGAATCAGACCAGTTTTCGAATCAGAATCAGACAGAATTTCGAATCAGACCAGTTGGTAAATCATGCAAACGTTTGGGTGACTCGACTGTCCAGGTTACCATAAGTTGTATTCGCCGTGGCAAACAAGCCAAATTAAAATGCACGACTCCTCCCAATTTTTTTTTATGCATGTCTCCCGCATCCCACCTCTTTGTAACCAACCAAAAAAAGTCCATTACACTTCAACTAGCGGTCTACTTCTCGACCACCGACCCTCCCCCCTCCCCCACCCCTCTCCTACTGCCACACATTGCGTGCTCGTCGCTCTGACCTCACCCTCTGCCACCGGCAGACCTTCACCTCTCGCCCGAGACGTACAACCAGCTGCGCAGTCTACAGAAGAAGGCGCACGACCTGCGACTGGAGATGCGGAAGCTGCGGCGACTGTCGCAGGACCACGCCACCGCCGTCAACGAGATGATTGGAGACACCTACTCCAAAATCAGGTACGGACGACAGACAGGCGATACAGGAGCACGGTGGAAAACAAAAGTACATACAGCAATGACATTGCAATGAAAGTGATGATAGATTATCACTACTCATAGTATTTCATTAAGTCTTGATTAAAGGGTCTTATTACTCGAAAGGGTACCTAAAGACCTTCCCTGCACGTTTCTGCACCCTTCTGCACGAGAAAGGAAGCTATCCACTTTTCCCAATGCACACCAAAAACAAGCTGAGTACTGCTTGTTTCCTAAATAGCTGGTTCTCTCCAACGCAAGTTAAAAGGAAACCAATATTCACATTTTTCCCAAATGCACGCTGAATATAGGCCATAGCAGGGCCTCGTCTAAGGAATTTTCACTGGGGGGGGGGGGGGGCCAGAGCCTGAAGGAGCCAAACCTAGGGTACCCCCAAATCCTGTTTTCTCACCGGATTTAGACCACTTGTTTTTTCATCACAGCCCTGACACCATGATTTTTTTTTTAACTAAAGGAAAAATAATAGGGCATCCGACCCATGGTTGAGCGTTTTTGAGTGGCAGTGCCTTGTCTAAGGAATTTACATGCCGAGCCTTATGTCGGGTGCCCACACGCATAGACTGAGCGCTTGCGGCTTGACTCTGAGCTCTGCCGAGTTCTGAGGGCTAATACCAGCTTCTGGACCCACGCCGGCCTCTATGGTAGCCCACGCTGGCTTTATATGATCCATACCAGGCTTTAAGGATCAAGCTGAGTGGAGACAGTATTTTCCCACTAGGGCCCCCTCAGACGAGTGTAATGCGTACGTATCAACTTGGAGACTGATGGCTTCTCACTTCAGGTGGATTCTCCGTAAGTCGTAATCGCCGTGGATCTCCGACACAACCTTAAGGTTGTCAGAGGCTATAAACTAAACAAAAAATGAAGATTTCCCCGTGTAGTAGTGCAATTTGAGGCCCGTTGGGACCCTACAGGCTGGCATTTGGCTGGCATTTGCCCACCGGGACTCCACGCCGACTTCTTTAGATAATCCAGCTGTCAGTTCCCGTCCCCACAGACAGACCACCAATCTGCGCCTACGTACGACCACCACGGGATCCTGCTTCATTACGACTAGGAGCTACTCTAGCCGCACACCGGTGACCGTCCAGCCAGAAGCTGGACGCCGCATAGTGAGGACGACGATAGGCAAAAACAAGAGATTGACGCCCCGAGGACAGAAACAACAGATTGATACGTAAAGGAGAAATTTTTGTCGGTAGAGCGTTGGACTCCGCGTGGTGAGGGCACGCGTCCCGGTTATAACAGTCCGGGTTCGAAGCGCGACAGAGTCGCTTGATGTTTGAGTCTCCTGGCGAGTATGTTTGCGGTTGGTGGCAGGCCGTAACCAGTCGAAGTCAGTGAGGGGACCGGCCGTGCGCGGCTATGTGCATACGTAAAACTTTGGGCTCTAAATTCTGCCATAGATCAGAAATTGCGCGATCGGAGGGTAGAGGGCAGGGCCAACGCAACAAGATCTGCTTAGCGGGGGCTCTGTCCTTGTGAATCCTTCCATTCAAAAGGTTCGGACTAAATTTATAAAAAAGAATATCCGAGACACGGAGTTGGGCGCCTGAAAAGACGAAATGTAACGTATTGCTGAGCGGAAAAAAATGGTTAAGGTCAGGTAAACAAAATAAACACTTGATAACAGGCCTAAGTAATCGGCTAGGTATCAATGTGCTCACATTGCATCCATGTTTCGTTTACACATTTGCTTTTATGTGCACTGACGCCTCGACCTAAAAATTCGTTTGCCTTTTGGCTATTGCCGGCCCCCCCAATAGTGACTTTTTGCCCTGACTGGGGGGGCCAGGCCGATGACTGCGGGGGTTTGGCCCCCCCAGTTAACATGTTAGACGAGGCCTTGGGCCATAGCCCTCTTCTCCCACGCCCAGTGTCACCGCCTGCCGTCTATCCGCAGAGTGTGTCTTCTATCGAGCGCCGAGCTGGCGTTTGGAGGCGGCGAGACCGAGTCTGTCCGGGTCCGGAAACAGGAGGACGCCTACAGCAAGGACGTGCTCGGAGTCGAAAAGGACCTCGGGTGAGCTCAGTTGCAGTCGTGCCGAAAAGAGCGACGAAAGAGGGAACAGAGAAAGGGAGAGAGGGAAAGAGAGAGGGAGGGAAAGCGGCAACAGTAGTGGGGAAGGAGAGCAAGGGAGGCAGGCAGAGAGTGGAGAGGGTGAGCAAGGGAGGCAGGGAGGGAGGGAAGAGAGAGGGAGCGAGAGAGGAAGGCAGTAAGAGTCTAACCCCGTGTCACGCAGGTCACTGACTAAAACCTATCAACGAGGCAACACCCACTGGTCATTCGCGTGTCCTGTGTACCACGTGTAACCCCCGCATCTCCCGCCGGCCGACAGTGAGGTGGAACAGCACGTGGAGGACCTCCGCAGCAATGTCATCAACAGAAGACGTCGGGTCAACATGAGCGACGTCGAGAGCATGGCGCTTGTCCTCAGCAGGTCCAGGTCGGTACCGATCTACCCCGGGTCGGTTCTATCCGCCGCACGGCAGGTAGCGCTCGATTCAGTGCTAGCTAAGGATAGAGGATGGATGGAGACAACCACTAACCAGTGCTAGAGAAGTCAAGTGGAAGTCTGAAAACAGAGTCACTTGCCAACACTGCTAAGCCACGTTCTGCCCAATATAAGCTTTGCTGTTTGCTAGCAAATACCCATAGGCCAGGAAGGAAGGTGATGTAGGTAAACATTCCTTTGCGTCGATACTCCGCTCTCTTTTCGTTCTATATCATTTAAATCGTGTTCAGCTCGTGTGTTCGCAGATACGTTATCTAACGGATTAACACCAGTATAACGCCTTTTGGGGCGACTAACGGAGCGAGCGAGAGGGTGGGCCTTGCACGTGCGAAATTGTGAGGGGGTACCTCCAACTGACTTGTGCACGGCACCCTACTAAACGGTCTCTAGCGATGTGCCAAATTTGGGCACAATCGGCCCAGCCGTTCTCGAGATCTGGAAGCGGCACCCTGCACGTGCGCACGTGCAAAATGGGTCCCAACTAGAGATTGCAATCCCGGGATCGGGATCCCGGGATCCCGACGGGATTTTTATCCCGATCCCGATCCCGAAAATCCGCCAATCCCGGGATCCCGAAAAATCCGTTTTTCACCATAAAAAGAATGCAGCCGCTGCACGAGTCTTATTTACACTGTTCATGGTGCTGCGTGACATAAAGCAGAGAAACTATTTAGCTGGCACCCCGTAGCGGCCGTCCACAATCGACCGTGTTGATAGCTCCCGGGTATCACCCACAGCGGATAAGCCGCTTAAATGTGTACGAAAAAGGGTCCCGAACGCCAAAAAATTGCAGCATCAGTGCTGCAACATCTTTATCAGGATCACGGATCGTTCAACGATTCTGACTTGTCCGTCCGTGGCCGGAACAAAAGAGGTCATCAAGACAGTCTTTGAGCTCGTGTCGCAGAAAGATGTCACAGATGTCACGCAAGTGACGGCAGAGCTCACTGATTCAAACCTTTAAGACGGTAGAGTGGAGCTCTCCCAGTCAGTGACTCTGCCCTCAAAGCGACTTCGGAGCAAAGTCTGAGAGATATTAGTGATGAAAGCGGAACCGGAAGGAGGTGAAGTGACCAAGCGACGTCTTGAAAACATTGTGAAATAGGGAGCTGCCAAATTTGGCGTAGACTGGTCGCGAGTTTTAAAATAGACAGACCTACCAGCAATGGCTTAAGACTGTCGCGCTAACTACGAGTAGCGTAGACGAAGAGTGAGTGAGGCGTGGATGTGCTGGAACCCGTCTTAATGACGAGATAGTAAACGCACTGGTCGACGCACAGATTTATAAAGGCCAATTGGGAATAAATGGTAATCAAATCGAAACGTTTCCTTCGCAAATTCAATCGCTTTTAATGCAAATGACATGGTCTAAGGATGGCTTTTGGTTGTGGTAAGCTAAAAGACGCAAAACATATATGTCAGTAGGAAGTCATTCTTACGACCTTTAAGTGACAAGACCGGGATCCCGGGATCCCGGGATCCCGAAATAAAAACTTTCAGGATCCCGGGATTGGCAAAACGCTCCGGGATTGCAATCTCTAGTCCCAACTGACTTGTGCACGGCACCCTACTAACCGGTCCCTAACTGTGTACCAAATTTGAGCGCAATCGGTCGAGCCGTTCTCGAGATCTGGAAACGACCCCTGCACGTGCGCACGTGCAGCAGCACCCCAACTCTGGCACATGGATATGCAGTGTCTAGTGGGTGCCTACCTACATGCCAACTTTCAGCGCAATCGGCCAAGTAGTTACCGAGATATTGCAACAATTACAAAACTGACACCTCTTCGTTTTGCACGTGGCACGTGCATAAGGGGTCACCCACATGCATCGGGAATAGTCCAATACTTGGTAGAAGGAATGAAGCTACCCTACAAAATTTACCGCATGTAAATCGGTCAAGTGGTTGCTGAGATATAAGCCTCGCAAAAGCGTGACCACGGCCGGCCGGCCGGCCGCCGCTCATACTCAGAAATTTCCGTTAATCTAAGGAAAGACTACGCTCGCTTCGCTCGCTCCGTAATCATACGTTTCACAGTAAGACGGTGGCTGAGCTACAGAAGCGTCTACCCGAGCTGCAGACGGAGCTGCGCGGACTGGTGGCGCAGGAGGCGGAACGGGTCAAAAAGGAGGAACGGTCAGTGCAGCACCCTATCATTCCCCTCTCGCTGGCAAGAAAACGAGATGGTTGAGGTTGGGAGAGGATTGAAAACGTGCTAGACGTTCTCATTTACATAAAACGGTAAACAAATACACGATTTTAGGCTAACTATGTAGTCGTGTGCTTGGGCCTAGACTATGATACAGGAAATATTATTCAATTGGCATTTCCAATTTGCATTACGCCTTAACAAAAATTTCGCACAACTGATTTCGTTCTTTTCCCAGGTTTATCGGAGAGGAACCGCTCCGGCTAGAAAATGCACTACGAAGAATTAAAAAGTTATCGGGTACCTTAGTAACATTAAAGAGGTAAGCATGAGCTATGAACTCTGATGAGTTAAGTGACAACCAACAGCAAATGCAGGGAACAAGCAACTTCTAGGCGCGATTGGCATTCATTCGAAAGAAATGCTGCCATCGATGACGGACACACCTTTGAACTTAGGAAAGAACTGACATTCTATGTTTTCTACATAAGGTTTTATTTTAGCATTTTAATTTGCCGCATCCCCGACTGAGATTTATTGCTGTGGCGCAGGCTGGCGTCCGTTCAGGAGCAGAGGGTACCCGACACGGAGGACGCGGCGGCAGGCGCCGCTAAGCCAGCCGACGCTCAGAGCAAGGTCAGACCGAGGTCGGGGCGGGTCACCGGTCAAAAGGGGGCGATGTGGAGAGGGTGTCATTGTGGGTGTGCTGTGATGGGAGATGTCAATGTGGTGTTGATGGGAACCGGTGTACTGTGGGGATACGTAACTTTTCCTCAGTGATACGCTGGTGTGTGTTCTAAATTGCATGTCTCTTGAAGGAACAGACATGGGTTAAAGGGACAAGTGCGTGTTTTGTGTTTCAATGACAGTAACTGTTTCTGAGAGTATTCTATGTCCGGACTCCGGAGGCATGAACACGAATCAAGTATATCATGGTTCATTTCATAGGATGAAAATGACCGACTAACTTCTCCTCTTCGAATGTTCGCTTCTCGATTCTCCTTCTAGATTTAAATAGTCGTTGCGCTATCATGAACAGAATGTCTGTTTCTCTATCAAAACATTGCTATCGTTTCTAAATACACACTACTTCATTCACAGAAGAAACACTTCTATTCGGGCTAAGTGAATGTCGATGCAAAATTTAAGCTGTTACCAGTAACAGAAACCACAGATTCTATTACATTTCGCTGAAATGTACCAGAAAAAAATCCGAGTTCTATGCTCGTTTTGGCATGGATGTAACTGTGACCTCTGAAAGCCATAAAGACAAGTGGTACATTATAATCAACCGTCGCTCATAACCCAGAAAAAAAAAATAAAGCTGGCATGTGCCATGTGCTGCAAGGAAATAGAAAATGAAACCAGAAGAATTAAACGAGAGACACTGAAATTAGCCAGTTTCAGTGTCTCTCAGAACCATGCAGCCGAAACCGGACCAATTTCAAAACACACCTCTGCATGCAGGCAATCCATCTCACAGCCCCCTGCCAAGGGAAAAGTCACCTCGCACGCATGGTAGCCGGTCTAGACATTTTCTCTGTCCGCCTTGCCGCCTTATCTCTGGCGGTTGCCTCTGCTCGTCTGCTCTCGCTCTGTCGCTACTCTCCCTTTCGTTTCATCTCTCCTGTCGTGTACCTGAGCTGTCAGTTGCACACACACACATAATATCCCCCGTGTACAGTTTTCGTATCGCCAGGGTGCAGAGACCGACTTTAGTGTCCGCTTGCGCTCAGAACTAGATATCATAGCATGGATAGGGATGGAGGCTGCGCAAATGGCCGAAAAAGAGCTCAATGTGGCATCTACTTTTTCAAAAGTACGAAATAAACCTAATCTAAACTAACTTCGAGACCACAAAACCATTTTGACGTCATTTGATGCCATTTCAGAAGTCATTTTATGCCTTTTTCATTTATGCAAAAAAATATGGCAAAACCTTGATGCCCAAGAAGCCATATCGGATGTGGCTTCCACTCGACTCCTAACGTTCTGGCCGCTGCCGACCGTTGCGCTGCCTCCGTCCGAGTTAGCGTGTCGGTACCAGGTGCGGGCGAGTGTGTGTGATTTTTGTGACGGGCGTCGCGGCGCGCTGCGCGTGTGTGATTTTTACCACTAGCTGACAGTAGCGTTTTTCCGTATTGGTAGCGGCTGAAGCATCAGTGGCGGCAGAGCTCGCTGTTCAAGGACAGAGTCGCCGTCAATGAGTAACGGACGCCCGCAGCTCTCCGTTGTTGGCTCTCGGTGTTGCTCCCCGCTGGCCCCGCTCGACGCGTCGCTAGACGCCGCCTGGCTGTGCGCCCTCACCCCGCAGCCCGCCCAGTGCCTGATAGATGGGTGTTTTATCCCGCTACCCCGCGTCTGTGTGGCATGCGTTCCTCAGAAAGCAGGCTGGCCCAGCGGTCCGGCGGGTCATCCGGGCTGCGCTCGCCTCAGTGGCTGCGGTGCTGACGATACCTTCACAAACACAATGTGATGGCGATCGCTTTACAGGCGTTTCTGAATGTTATTTGACAACGGTTTTGAGTGGCTTTGATTTGCTTATTTGACTGAAGCCTGAATTTGCTCATGACTGTTGGTTGTCTATGACAATGATGACGCCAATGCTCTGATACATTTGAATGAATCATGTTACAGAAATATCGCATGTTTTATAACGCTTACACACACTTGTTACAAGTCCATGTCCGTCCAAAGAACACTGTGAGTTTATTTGTCCTTTTCAGAACTTCGCCCTACTGTTGTAGAGCATTAGGTACAGAAAATAACAATTGTTGCATCGACATACTGCACATCTACGTTTTGTGTGGACGACGCAAAGGCATCGATAGATGCCTTCAGTCTTCCTACAGTTCAATTATTTCTTCTTGTCTGCATATGCAATGCATGTTGATAATCATCCCAACTATTCAAACCGATGATAGATGACGTTATGTTATTTTGAAATGAAACAATGAACTAATATCATAAAAATAAAATAATCAAAAGTTAATTCCCAAGATGTAGCGATGAAACAGGAATAACAACATGTAAATAAACCGCATTCACCTAAACAATAAGTGAAAACGATTTACAAGAATTGCATTTGCCAAACCTTTCACTCCATGTCAATGATAGTACCTACGATACCATTTCAAACAATTCACGAGAAGTCACATAAGTACGGTCATGCACGTACGGTAAAATTCCACTAATCGTTTCCTCATATAAGTTGTGATTTGTATGTGTTCGCGCCTAGATGGTCATTTAACAGTCAATCGAAAGTAGTAGAGTGGAATCTTGATCTGCCAAGATCCGTTTTCCAATTTGCTTTGAAACGACTTCGAAAATAGATTTCCAGAGGCACGAAGTACCCACGAAAAGATCGTTGTTCGCGGACAGTGCAACGGAGCAGCGCAAGGTGCAACGGAGGATCCTCCCTTGCACGAACGTAATCTCCTTACTTACCGGTCATTTGTGTAAACATTCCAGAAATCAGCAAGAACAATGTAGATTATATAAGCAATGAGAAGTAAAACAAATTACTAAGAGTTATGGAGCAGTAAACACAAGTGGAACACAGAAAAAATAGGATTGCTATTTCTTTATAGTTATTTCGGTCAAAGTAAACAATTGCAGCTTAAAAGACAAGCTAAATTTAAAACCATGACTCACGGCTAATGATTAGCCGTTCATGCATGACAGACAAATAGCGAGTGTAGCGAGTGACAATGAAGCCATACACAAATGTATGCTTGACAGGCACTTCAGGCATTAATCAATGTGCCTACCAGAGTGATTTAGGCATTACCTATGCCATGTTTCAATAATACAGCGATTAATTTCATATCCGCAATATGAGTAGTAAAGGATAAAATACATGTAGTTTATAACCACAGTAAACCGCAACTAAAACATCACGGTTTGCGTACCTATTTTCGGAATAAATATTACCATTAGTGTTTCATTGGTTGTTCGACAAATAGCGTTGACCTCGGCTGTACCGATGCCTTACACGCGGATACTGAGTTCAAACCTTTTCTGCAGGCGCCAAGGGAGGACCCTCCGCACATTGTCTGAACAGGTCAGCTGAAACCCACCCGCCCCGCCCCTGACTAACACCTCCCCCCCCCCGCTGAAAGTGACTAACGTGTGTTGGTAGCGACTCCCTGAAGACCCATTCACCACTTCCTTCCGTGGTCTCACGCCGAAAACATTACCGTCAGCTTTGGCTGCTGCACTTCCCATCGCTTGGATAGAACACCAGGCAACCTTTTTAAGCCTTTGGTCTAACCGACTGCCCGCCCCGACCTGCCTGACCTAACTACTTGCATCTTTCCTCGACCAGACTGGTTCAGTATAATACCCCTCCCCCATGCCCGGTCACGACTGGTTGCATGCATGTCAACAGCGACCCGATTAACCGAGAAACCCGGGACCGTACTTACCCAACCCGCAGCTAGAGCTCCCCGCACCACCCAGAGGGACTAAACGGGTCTAGACTGCTTGCGGTAGTAGAAAGTAGAACCCCTTAGACCACGCTCGATGAAGAGCTCCAACCCTGTTTGGTTCACTTATGTAGAAGCACATTATCAAATGAGATGCAGGAAATACAACCCGAGTTCTTTGCGCTTGTTGCATGGTTGCACTTGCTTGAAGGTGACGCTAGACCCAGAGGAGGGTGGACATTGGACTTGGGCTGCCTTGGAATGCTAGGGAAGCACCGCATGCAGTTTTATTTAGCAAAGCGAGTGTATGGTTAACTTTAACTAGGTATTGGCTAGTTGAACATTGCCGAAATAATTCACCGCTGGCATGCATCCGGGACCCAAACCTCCATGAGCCCAATATGTTACGGCGATGTGTAAAACAGTGGCTACCGGTCTTCAGGGACATTGGTTGCGGATTTCGATGTGTTGCGGGCTATTGGACATCTGAAACAAATAACGACGCATTAGAGCTATAATGGCATTAAATGGTGTGTTATAGTAAGGTAGCTTCCTATAAATTTTAAACGAATTTGAAACTGAATACGAATGAAACATCAAGGAACAACTACGAAATATTACAAGTGTTACCTTTCATAAACCCTGGATTAATGGTTACATTATTGAATTAAACTTTCATATCTTACCTAATCAAACGTTACCACTTACCATTCCATCTGTAAGGTCTTCGTCGTCTAAATTTGCGGCATTGTTTTGCGCCCGTAGTTTGAAAACCGTCAGGTCACCAAATTGTAGACGGTCAGAATAGACTGGCCGTTCATGCGTGTGTCGGGGGGACGGTGACTGGCGGTGCGTTAGTGCCTGGGTGCCAGGTGCGTTCGAAGGACATGGCCTTTGCCTCATGCCTGTTTTTAGAACGCACTACCGCCTCGGGCCGAGTACAAAAGCGGTGAATGAGAGTGAAGCGGGGTCTTCGGTGCCAGTTCGCTGCTGAGTGCGCTGCTCCGAGGCCCCTCCGACGAATCACCGCTGCTGGCTTGGTCTCAAGGTACGGTCCCTGGGCACTGGGAAGATGCGGGCTCAAAGGTCTTCCTATAGATAGGTTTGGAGCTGGGGAGGCGGATAACCTTTTATTGCGAATGCGTTAGGGTATGATAGGGTAGTTTTGCGCGTTATTTTGGCGGCCTTATTGATGTGTTTATTTTCTCATGGCAGTCCATTACTATTTTGGTGTAAATACATTGGGGCTAAATCGATAGCATCTTTACATGGAGGTTTTCACGAGAAGGAGGAATGAAAGAGCGGGAGCATTTTCAGTCGGCACTATAGTCCTGCCAGTTTGACTTTGAGTGGCTAAGTGTTTGGTGCATATTAGATTAGTATACCCATCGGCACGCTACCAACCGCGTGGCTACCAAATGGCGAGCATTCACCACTGAACCACCCGAGTAAAACGGCCCCACAGTAGTTGCATATATAGAATGACAGTGGCCCGGGTGGCAGACGGGTTAACGGCACAAAGGGAGACGTCCCTGCCTAACACTAGTCACGTAGAGTAAAGTAGCAGATAGCTGATAAAGGGGGAGATAGCGACAGACCCACAGGACCCGGGGCTCGAGTCTCCACCCCTACACATCATTTCAGGTCCTTTGCCATCTGACAAACTGTTATCTCTCCATCGATCAACTCGACCTTCAGAGAGATCAGTAGCATCCTGAAAGAGATATCGCTTTTCTTTTTCTTGTCCCATTTCTCATATTTTGGGATGTCCAATTTCTCAATCGTACCGATGCATTGACGTGAAACCTAACGCTCTTTAAATGTCCTGATTTTAGCTGTTTTTATTGATGTTATTGCCAGCTTTTTTAAAGCGTTTGATGTTGTACGATCATTTGATACAGTGGGCTCTGCTCGCATTAAAATGCATGAGGCGCTGCAATGGCCTTAATTTTAATGTCGTCGATGGCCTACGTTATTGGCCCGCAGTTATACCAAATAGCTTTGTACTGTATCGACTGGAAGATCACGTAACTCTCTCACTCCGCCCATGATCAATGCTTCTTAACAAAATCTACAGCATAATATGGTAGCAGGTTAATATCATGCCACTATATTTTGATTTAGAGAGCATCCTGTCACCACACAACCACTGAAGGTTGCAAAATATATCCGGTGGCGTTGGAGAAGGCTAGTAAAGTAGCGTCAGTGACCACTGACCAGCTCGCTGCTGTGTTGAGCTCTAGCCACGACGAGGCCTTCTCGAACAGAAGCCGAGGGTCTGTCTGACGAGGAGCCTGACTGACGCCGCCGTGTCCCGTTGCAGCTGCCGGCCGGTGCCTCCGCCGCGGGCCACCAGTCTGCCGCCGATGAGCCGCACACGCTCCGAGCAGCCGGCGCCGCCGGCGCGGCCGGAAACTCCCTCGATGCCCTTCTGAGCGAGCTGCAGGACGGAGGTGGCAACGGAGGAGGCGCGGCGGCGGGCACCGGCGCGGAGCCGGCGCCTCCGCCGCCGCCGCCGCCGCCGCGCACCTCCTCCCGCAGCCCGGCGCGCAGCGAGTGGACGCGTCCTCCTGCGCCGCTCAGCCGGGCCGTGTCGGCGCCGGGCGCCGCGCCGCTCTCCTCCACACTGGCGCTGAGCGACGAGAGCCTGGGCCGAGACGCCGCCTCGTCCAGCTCGAGCAGCAGTGAGAGCGTCAGCTCGCAGCGGCCCACCGGCGCCGCAGAGGCGCTGCAGCGGCGCGAGGCGGAGCTCCGGCGCAAACAGGCGGCCCTCCAGCAGCAGTATGCCCGGCTGCAGGCCATGCACGGCGCCCCGCCGCGGCCGGCCGGCGAGGCTCAGCCTGCGGCGCCGCCGCTAGAGGACTCTGACCGGCCGGCGGCGGCTCAGCAGCAGCCGTGAGCGGTGAGACAGAGCTCCGGCTGCACAACCATCGGCACCGGCGCCGGCCAGTTGACCCGATTGCTCAAGGCCATATAGCACGTGCGCCATACTCTGGCTCTGCGCGTGGATGTAGTGCAATTGCGCTTGTCAGAGTAGAGAGAGTGGGAGAGAGTGGGAGAGAATGTGCAATGTTCGATGCAGGGTGTTCTTGCTCATGCCCGCTGCAGTCCCATATTTATTCGTTGACGGGTCCCACTCAGCTTGAGCGCAGCCTTACGACTCGCTGTTCAGTGCCAACGCGCTTCTCTCCCCGGTGAACAATGTCCCCCGCCTTCCCATCCGCTCCCGCCGTCACCCCACCCTCTCCTGTGATGACCGGTTCGAGCCGGTCGCCGAGCGACGCTCGCTTGTTATGTTTGACGGATTGTTGTGTGCGTTGAAAAGCTCGCCGCACTGCCCCCGACGGCAGTGAGGCGGCCAGAGACCGGGCGCTGTTGTGTGCTGAGCTGGAATCGGGTAAAGGAACGACAGAACGCGAGAATTCAGACGAATCGCGAGATGGGAGAAACGAACCGGCAGGCTGATGAGGTATGAGACGAACATTCGACGATTGGAGTGGATCTGTAACTGGCGGAACTGCGTGCCAAATGTGGAACAGAGCGATACGACCGAACCCATCTCATCGTAACCCCGCCGCCACCTCCCACTGGAGTAACTGTGGGATCGGCAAACCTGGTGCCAAACTGTTACGGACCAGATCCTTACAGTCGCCCGCAGGGGTGCGGCACACCGGCCGGCTAATCAATACAGGAGGACGCGAGGGTGAGCGTGGGGCTGAACGGACGGGCCGTCCCGGGCCCCGGCAGGGTACTGTTGAAGTTGGAACAGAACTGATTGTTGTGGAGATAGGCCGGCTATGTTTCTATGAGGCGCAATAAAATTGTGACTGCCAAACGCGGCTGTTTAACTCGGATATCTGATGTAAGTTTTACATCAGGCGAGACTGCGCTATTTCCTTTTTGTGTGATGGTAAGGGAGACAGACTACCTTGTAGGCAGCTCAATGTAGCACAGCGACACTGCTGGTAAGACTCAAGAGGTAAAAAGCTACGCTAACCAAGAAAGTAAACCTCGTCGTCTTTCACGCAGTTGCTCGGGAGTTCAAGGGATTCGGCCGTCACCTTTCTAAATGAAAGCAGAGATACTTACAATTTCAATGTGGAGCGATAGAAAGACGCAACGCTCTTGTGATGGTGTAATTCCTCCTATAGTGCACTCTGAATAGAGTAATTACGACAGGCCTCACTGACTAGAAAATGTTGGGAAAACGGAATGACACATGACAGACCACACACTCGCCCATGCATGTTAGTACTCAGCAAAGCAAGCGTTAGTACAGCGGCCAGCGGGCACACCAGATCTGTAGGACAGACGAACTGCTACTTAGCTACCCACTCATTGGAGACTTGAATAGCAGTTTGTATCGAGATCCCGCCGCGGTTGGTCTCCGACGACAACTTAGCACAATCATGGTGATCTCTGCCTAGCGAACTACTGCGTGAGATGTCAACGCTGACCGTAAGAGCTGCTCCTCTCCAGCTGGGACAACCAGACGGTCAGATGAGCGGCGGCACCTCCGGATGGTGATCTTCCGCCGCTGGTGCGGCTGGCGCTGGTGGTGCTGCCGATGGTGCCGGCTTGGACACCGGGGCAGCCGGTGGTCGCCGAGACGGTGTCCGCTTTGGTCGCTCGGCGAACTGGGGAAGAGCAGTTCGTTCGGTCCATGGCGGGGATATGGAAAAGTATTGCACAGAGGCATTGCACAGTGCACACTGCACATCAAAACGAGTGGACTGCGGTCACCACTTAGCCGCTCTGTTTAATTGTTCATCATGTCGGTCAATTGACGTATGACTCATTTGCTTAGGTAACTGCGTATAGGCAAACCTAGTTCCGACACAACATGCACCACAATCAATCACACAACTCAGTATCCACGTTTATCGTACCCACCTGACCTCAATACACCTACCAACCACTTTCATCACTGATCACTCCCACAAAGCCGCGCCATTCGATCTGTACCCTCTCACCCTCGTCCGTCCCGATAATGAAGATGATGATTTGGTTAGATCGTCCCCACAACGCCCAGCAGCAGCTTAACCTACCTTTGGCATGGTGACCACCAGTTGACCGGTGACCTGGGACCGCTGCACGGTACTGGAGTCCGTGAGAACCTCCTCCGGCAGGACCAGCTGGAAGGGCCGCTGGCGCACCAGCACCGTCACGTGCGTGGGCTGCACGTCCACCTCCAGTAGCGAGGTGTCCAGGTGTCTGAGAGGAGGGGAGACATTAGTGGGTAAGGAATGGTGGGAACACAATGAGCTGTTATTGAGAGCCAGACTGAATCGCAAAAAAATACGTTGGGCAAACGTACCATGCCAAGTTTGCTCGTGTAAAACAAATTTCCACACCTTACAACGAACGGCAAAATATTGAGCATCCCAGATTTGCGTCACGAGCCATATCGCTAAGACCTAGGCTAGCCCATTACCATTCTCAATCATCACACTATATCACAAATACACTCTATTTCCAACCTCTCTTCCTCCATAGTGCACTATAACACCCCACTCACTTATACAGATCGAGTCTGAGCACGAGCCGGTGCTGCTCCTCGTCATCTTCCAGTTCGAATTTCAGTCCGGTCGGGTTGACGTTCAGCGGCCGGCCGTCGTCGGTCACCAGCCGGATGGGACGCGGCGGCGCCTCCCACGGCGGCCGCTCGGGAGGCGGAGGTACCGCCCGCGAGGCCGCCACCTGACGGTGCAGCTCGCGTCGAGACTCGGGCGTGTAAGCGGTGGTCTCCGACCAGAATCTGGAACAGGAAGAGTCATTCGGTGATGACTGGCGGGTCTGGTGTTGAGGTGGCCAAGCTTTGCATTCGTGCTCACTGCTCCGATATTCTGTGAATCTCAAATTGAGATAGGACACAATATATGCTTACTTTTTCCTTTCCTCTTCAGTCATCTCATCAACATTTACTTCGGGTTTAGCTTCTCGATCAGATTCCTTTTGTTTTCTTCGTTTCTCTGCAAACAAAATAAAGACATATGAGTCGTTAGTGTAGAAAATTCACGACGCTTCTATAAAAAATCACCAGCTACTTTAAGATAATAATCGTTGTTAATTTATATTATTTTATGTAGATTATTCTATTCGTTATCCATCGAGGTTCTTCAGCGCCAACAAATAAGAATCCACCAACCACCCACATTCTTCCGACCACGCCGACCCTATCAGAGCTCACCCAGGTAGCATTTCTGCTGCTGTATGATCTCGTCCTGCACTGCGGAGAAGCGCTGCCGGGCCGTGATCCGCTCCGAGTGTTCTATCCGGGTACCGTCCAGGGTCTGCAGCTGGGGTAAGGTGACAGCCACCCAGTCCCGGTAGCCCTCGTAGTCGGCACACGGATTACCCGTCAGGTACCTGAGAAAGCGGGGAATACGGTTATGTTGGTTCAGTAAGATGATATGTGCATGATCACTGACCAGTGTTGGTCCCGATATCGCAGCAAGCATACTCAAAACACAATGTTTGCAACATTTAGACAAGGAGAACACCAAAACCACCGAGCTTCGTACATCCGGAGCCCGGTGTCAAGTTCCTCGCCCGACCAGTCCCCACTCCCCGGATCGACGTAACACGCGCAATAAGGGAGGATACAGAAGTACCCGAACCAGCTCGAGTAACCCCAATACGTATCTCAGGACGGCAATCGATACAGACCGAGGAGGTCGAACTACAATACCCTCACATCGAACTATCCATAAGAAGTGGCCTACGACTGTCCACTCACAGTTCCCGGAGGTGCTCGTTGTGCTGGAGGCTGGCCACGGACGTCAGCTCGCCGATGAAGTTCAGCGTCAGGTCCAGCTTGGTCAGGCTCTCGCAGCCCTCCAGGTTCTCCACGCGCTCGATGCTGTTGAGCGCCAGGTTCAGGTACTCCAGCTCCTTGAGACGACTCACATTTTCTGTCGAAGGCGATGAGGTAAAAATAATAAAGCATGCGATTATAAATCCAACCATTCACCATTATGTTTGACAGGAATGTTTGCACTGGCGGAAAACGAATGCATGACTTTATCGTGGCACGACCCCGGTCGCGTTCAAGAAAAGTTTTTTACGATGTAAAAGACCACCGCATCTCCTTCAGTTCTATAAATTTGATTTTATACTTTAATCGATACTGTAATTATATACAATTATCGATTTGACAGAACTTACACCTCAAGCTTAAACCGTAAGGTGCTAGCAATTCATAATGAATCCACCTTTCAGCTGACAGAACGAAATCCATGCAGCGACACAAACAGCGAAAACGGCGAGAACCGGACGGAAACTGTTCATCCTACCCATTGATCAGCTATCAACCCACCACACTGATAAATGATCGGTTATGTTGATCCCCATCGGCTTTCTACTGCCCTTCTCTCTCACCTATTTCTATTATCTATTATTCTATTATTATTATTATCACCTATTCTCTCACCCGCACTCACCTATTTTCTCGATGAGGTTCGACTGCAGGTAGAGAATGCGCAGACGGCGACACCATCGATCCAAGTGCTGAATCCGTTCCACATCGCACTGGTGTAGCGACAGCTCCTCCAAGCTGAAGATCTCTTTCTCATTGTGTTCGGCCCGCTTCCGGACCAGCTCCTCAGTTACTGCCGCAAATGACGAGCCGAAGATCACGTATCAAAATACTGGGCACTGGCAACGGAAATATGTACAGCCAAGCATTTGTAAGCGCTCATAACAGACAAAACTGGTGGGACCTATCGTGAACACTGACAGTCGCTAAGTGTTCGGTTTATTATCAAACAAATATCCTTCCGTTTCAAACAAAGCGGCGGTCCGAGTGTCGAGAAAAAAAAAAACTTAAAAAGCTACGGGCTAACTCGGGCAAATACTGACTGTTTCGACTGTAAATTGGTCTGCATGTGCAGGTAGACCTGCAGGCAGAATATATGTCTGGGCATCGCCGCGCAATAAAAGCTGATTGTGATGTGCATGTCCCCGGGACCAGAGCCACACCGGCCACCGGGTGCCAGAACGGGCAGTCCCGGCGGCTCATACCGCATTATTTCAATTTAGATCGGTGACACTATTGCACTGCATGGTGGGCTCACATAGCTCATCAAATGTCAACAATCACGCTGGAAATGCGTGTGCCACAGCATCATGAAATTGAACCCTTGGAACACAATAATGACATTTAGGCTGGCCGCCCTTAAAACTTACTTAACACCATTTTTGCTTGAAAATGGAAGCCTGGGTCACGAAGAATCAAAATGGAACATCACACGAAAAAGGTTCTATCTTGCGCTGCCGATGATCGACAAAAAAACATCCAAGCAAATAACCGACCGGTTTTACACATCAAAATCGACTTGTCCAAACTTCAGCCCAGAGCAGGGCGCCGCTTCAGCCACAAAGATATCGAATCAAATGTCCGTGAAGTTAGCGTCAGCAACAGCAACGAATACAGCGTCGGATTCAGAATCGCTTCAAAAAGTGCCATTAGGTCAATTGGGGGACGGGGAACACGAATATGACATTTATTTTGCCCTAGCTCCCTTCCTTCATCCCTTAATCGTCCCTTAAAGGACGGGGCGCGTCAAAAGTGCCCCAAGGCTTCGTCTGATCGCCAAAATAATGGTCGCAATCGATTCCTCGGGTCAATATCTAACCTCAGTCGAAGGTTCCAGACCTGTGGCTCCTATCCCTCATCCCTTAATCGTCCCTTAAAGGACGGGGCGCGTCAAAAGTGCCCCAAAGCTTCGTCTGATCGCCAAAATAATGGTCGCAATCGATTCCTCGGGTCAATATCTAACCTCAGTCGAAGGTTCGAGACCTGTGGCTCCTATCCCTCATCCCTTAATCGTCCCTTGAAGGACGGGGCGCGTCAAAAGTGCCCCAAGGCTTCGTCTGATCGCCAAAATAAGGGTCGCAATCGATTCCTCGGGTCAATATCTAACCTCAGTCGAAGGTTCCAGACCTGTGGCTCCTATCCCTCATCCCTTAATCGTCCCTTAAAGGACGGGGCGCGTCAAAAGTGCCCCAAGGCTTCGTCTGATCGCCAAAATAATGGTCGCAATCGATTCCTCGGGCCAATATCTAACCTCAGTCGAAGGTTCCAGACCTGTGGCTCCTATCCCTCATCCCTTAATCGTCCCTTTAAGGACGGGGCGCGTCAAAAGTGCCCCAAGGCTTCGTCTGATCGCCAAAATAAGGGTCGCAATCGATTCCTCGGGTCATTATCTAACCTCAGTCGAAGGTTCCAGACCTGTGGCTCCTATCCCTCATCCCTTAATCGTCCCTTAAAGGACGGGGCGCGTCAAAAGTGCCCCAAGGCTTCGTCTGATCGCTAAAATAATGGTCGCAATCGATTCCTCGGGTCAATATCTAACCTCAGTCAAAGGTTCCAGACCTGTGGCTCCTATCCCTCATCCCTCAATCGTCCCTTAAAGGACGGGGCGCGTCAAAAGTGCCCCAAGGCTTCGTCTGATCGCCAAAATAAGGGTCGCAATCGATTGCCCGCCAAAAAAGTGCCCCAAGGCGATCAGACGAAGCCTTGTGGCACTTTTGACGCGCCCCGTCCTTTAAGGGACGATTAAGGGATGAGGGATAGGAGCCACAGGTCTGGAACCTTCGACTGAGGTTAGATATTGACCCGAGGAATTGATTGCGACCCTTATTTTGGCGATCAGACGAAGCCTTGGGGCACTTTTGACGCGCCCCGTCCTTTAAGGGACGATTAAGGGATGAGGGATAGGAGCCACAGGTCTGGAACCTTCGACTGAGGTTAGATATTGACCCGAGGAATCGATTGCGACCCTTATTTTGGCGATCAGACGAAGCCTTGGGGCACTTTTGACGCGCCCCGTCCTTTAAGGGACGATTAAGGGATGAGGGATAGGAGCCACAGGTCTGGAACCTTCGACTGAGGTTAGATATTGACCCGAGGAATCGATTGCGACCATTATTTTGGCGATCAGACGAAGCCTTGGGGCACTTTTGACGCGCCCCGTCCTTTAAGGGACGATTAAGGGATGAAGGAAGGGAGCTAGGGCAAAATAAATGTCATATTCGTGTTCCCCGTCCCCCAATTGACCTAATGGCATAATATGAAGCGATTCTGAATCCGACGCTGTATTCGTTGCTGTTGCTGACGCTAACTTCACGGACATTCGAATCAAGGGGGAAAAGGTCAAAGCATTATATCTAAAGCACACACGTGCGTTGCTTAGTTACAAGGTAATCACAAGAAACAAATCAAACAAATAACGCGTTCTTCACCCAACTTAAGAATCGGAGCCAAGGCCCTATATACCATCGGAGCTCTATATAGGGCCTTGGAATCGGAGCATTATTCGGAGGGACGACACTACGGTCGAAACCAAAACAAAACAAATCCTCAAGGCCATTCCACAGCGAGGCCTCGGTTGTCATGGCAACATTTGGCATCTGGTGGAGCATTATAAAGCTGCGTAGATAGTTGCGTAGCTAAATTAGCTGCATGCATTTCGTAATCTATTTTTGCCATATTTATTCAAATCAAACCAAAAAAGTTAAAGCTGTGGAAAAATCGTCTCAAATAATTCAAAAAGCATCTACAAAGATTGAAGTTCTTGGAAAAGGGACGTAAATTGCGCAAGTGTTTCATAACAATTTGGATAAAGGGCGGCAATGTGCGAGGACGAGTGATGACTTTTATTGCTTTTTGTCCTTCGACCTTCAACTTATTTAAGTGTCGTTGAATCATCGTGTTTTACAGAGTGCCTTTCTTTATATCTCATACTTTTCCATTACCACCAGCGAAAGTGGAAAGGTTAGAAAGGTCAGTTTCCATTCCCTCTTCTGGACCATTCAGCCAGGTTTAATATTTGAATTGTTGCTGTTATATTACCATCAATATTATTGTTGACCTATTCCACCAACTACTAAAAGGTGAGTGTTACAGTGAAATTTGTACCTCCAACTAGAGAAATTTTGTATATTGAAAGTGAAGATACCTACACTATAACATTGTATTCCGATATGTATTCCGATAAGCCTGGTTTGTGCATGAATATTAAAGTCAGCATGCAAGTAAAAACAAAGAAGAAAGTTCTGCGGTATATTATTCACACAAGATTCTCGTTTCAAGGGAATCCTCAGCACGCAGAGCCACAGTGGAGTAGCCGTTAACAGATAAGTACACATAGCTGCAAGAAAAGGTGCTATTTTGCGTCAGTGGTGAGAGAGAGTAAGATAGGTACCTATGCAACCACATGTGATCTGCAGAGCGACTAACTCACTGGCCAAGTGTTTTTGCACACAAATGCAAACCAAGAAAAATAAAAACAATATAAATCATTTAAGTTGTCATTCATCAATGAACAAAAAAGTTAAAATAAAGATATACTCTGTGAACCTGATATGCATATAACCTCAGACCTGGTTCTGTTGAAAAAGTTTGCACATGTATGCATAAACATACAAAAAAAAAAAAAAACAAGCCATTTCTTGACAAATGAATACAGCCACCTATGCACACACTGGACCTTCCACCCACTGGTTCTCCGTTCTGGATGTGATAAAAAAATGCATGGACACAGCCACCTTGCCCTCTAATTCTTCACGCCCATCAATGGACTTCAGCCTATCTGAAGGTAGATTCAGATCATTATGTTTTAAGCATTTTTAGTAATAGATCAGTGATGGTGGTGGATTTCGGTGAAATACCAGCATTTCGACTGTGAGGCGTGAGCTGCAATTACTATCCTCTAGGAATGTCAACAATAGTTTTAGCATTTTCATATGAACATAACATCTTCGACTAGTCAGTTGTTTCACCCATACTGAGAATATAAAATATGCATACATCTGTGTTACGCACGCTCTTTCTACAATCTGTCAGAATCCCTGCTAATAATGGCAATTATGTGGCAGCAGCAACTAGCGAATTTCCTTGACCAAGCACCAGCACACTGTGAAGTGACTTCATGGACTTGGGTGATGACGGATGCTCCCAGCATAGATCGCCAGATACGCCTCACTGGCATGGACCAGTGGTGCACAGACAGCTGGGGACACAAGTCGCTTCAATTAATACAGTGTTCACTGCTTCCATGCACCTTCATCAACACTTGTGACAGCAGACAAGCAAGAATGAAGAACTGAGTTGACTTTGGAATCTTCAAACCATACTTCTTCATTGCAATATGGACAAAATGCTACGTTATAAATGCTACGGTTAGGTAATTGTATGAATTTGAAAATTGACCTGACTCTTTTGAAGCTGAGAATCACTAGTATTTTTGCTACAATTTTCACGCCTTCCAAATTCAGCCTTTTTATCCTTATAAATACAATGTAATCACGCAAACATGGTGCACCATCTCGCGCGACTATGTCACTGTGCCATTGGACTCACTTCTCTCCCAAGTCGGAGGCGGTGCGGATATGCTCGTCAGACGATACGAGGAACGGCGAGTCCATGGCGCCGGAGCCGCCGATGACGCCGCCCTCCAGCACCGTCGACGGCTTGGAGCGCAGCGTGAAACCGCAGCACTCGTTGCAGTACGTCTGGTTCGCATCGCTGCAACGACATACGGGATAAGCTGAGGTTAACAGGATTGTTTACACGATAGAGCATTCCTTTCCGACTTGATATTATAATGTATGTAATACACTGACAAGTTGTATGTATAATACAACTCTATGCTGCGTTTCAGATGAATTTTTGGTGTAACTTCCGCTTTCCACTTTAACTTCCACTCAAATCCTATTGTTGATCAGACCGATTCTCAGACTGGTACTCCTTGCTACCCACCTAAGGATGTAGCCGAAGATGCCGAGCTCCCCCACCGCCTGCACCAACTGCGGTTTGCCCTGGCCGGCCCTCAGCAAGTAGTTGGGCTGCACGTGCGGCTCGATCAGATCCATGAGGATGTAGCCCGTGCGCTCGGGACTGTTCTTGATTGCGGAGAGCGTCTTAGCAATCTCCAGGCCGTAGACGTTGTTCCCTCCGCCCTCACGCTGCGGCTTGAGCACGAATCGCTCCGGGTTGGCGATGGCCATCTTCACAGCGGCGTCACCCTCCTCGTTCTGGGGAACATGCACACATGTCAACGATGATACAATTTCAAATATCAAATCACAATCGTAATCAAATCGGAGTGGGAGAAATGTGAAAACAATATGGAAGAGGAAGGAAACAAACCAACTTTCTATGCTCACCATATCCAGCGAGTAGAGGCCGGTGAACACCGAGCGACACAGCTTCACTTCTTCCTCGTTCAGGAAGCGCTCCAGCGCCCCGGGACGGGACAGCTCCTGCTGCACCTGAGGGTTGATAAGGAGGAACGATGTTACACTGCCAGCTACTTCATGCCTGAGCGACAGAGCAGTGACGGAATGACAACGTTACATGAAAGTACGAGATAAGTTCGTTACGTTCAACTGGACCTCAGGTCTGACATTTGCTCTCAATCATTACGTCTCTTTTCTCAGATGTTTTCCATATCACAAGTTGACCTTGAGTGCAAATTGTCACAATTTCGCACAGCCAATCCTCTCAGGTCTCAACCATGTCCCCTCCCTCCTCCTACCACTTTCCCTTCGTTCTCCCTCCGCCGTTGCCCTTCCTTTCCCCACCCGACCTACCTTTTTGGTGCCGGACAGGTGGAGCTGGATGCTGGGCGATTTGATGGCCTTGGAGCGCTCGATCAGGAGGCGCACGCTCCACTCCTTGTCGGTGGGATAGTGGTCCGGTGAGTACCCCATGCGGTAGTACACCAGCGCGATCTCGTAACCGTCTCTGCGGGAAAGACGGACGGATTTGATGGCCATCAGGGTTCGACGGTTATAGACCTACGTGAATCAAAGTCAGCTAACAACACCTTGAAAAGTTCTTATCACTGCGCAAACATTAAGCTCACAATTTTTGTATCATTTTGTGGTCACTGCCTAAAACGTTTGAGAGGAGCTATATCGTATCCCTTTCCTGCAATAATGCAATGCATGGAAGTGCTTCTTGTGATAGGTCTGCCATACTGCAATAAGTATTTGTGTCACACATCACGAGCTAAATGGTTTGGACACGTATGCAGCAACACATAGTTTCACAGACCCCCACATATTAGATCTACAATAGCTAGATCCAATGTGGAGCAAAGCGCCGCTTTAGGCATTATGATAAAATGAAAGGTTCTTAATTTTGAACAAGCACAATGCAGAGTTTGACACCGACTCTGGTACCGGCTGAGCCCGAAAACAACGACTGTATATTGGGCCTGGCTGTCAAGTTTCTAAGTAACCCCGACTCAAGCCAGAATCCTGAGGCCGCCACGAGTCTGCCAATGGGCTAAACTCCTAGTATCCATCCCGGAATCTTACACCATGAGACGGCGGTCGCTGGTGAGCGTGGCCTTGGTGACCAGCTCGCCGTGGGTGCGGCGCAGCACCTTGATACCCGGACGCTGCTTGTAGATCTGAAACTCGTGGAAGCGCTGGTCACAGATGTTGATGGTGCGCTCCTCGACTACGAACAGAATGGCAGCTCTGAAAACAAACGGACAGCCCGGCGGTACGGTCAGTGGTTTATGTCTTAGCTGGTGAAGATGAGATTGGATTTCTTAAAGAACTGCGATTGATTAAAAGGGGAGGTAAGTTTCAAATGTTGGTGTGGCATAGATAAATGGTAGGTATTCACCAAAGCATGTTCGTAACTTAGCGGTATAAGATCTATCCCAGTGCAGTGGTGCCATTTATAACACAACTCAGTGGACAATTAATATATTGAGACATGTCCTCAACGGCAATGGCGTACCCTTCGACGTTGTACTTGTCCCAGGCGTGGATCATTCCCTCGGCGATCCCAGAGAGCGATGTGTTGACCGGTATCTGCCAGATCCCAGACGCCAAGTGAATAAAATATAAAAATAAAAGCAACACAATGTTACGTCGATCTCTACTTTGTCATGAACATTCTTAGTCGCGTTATTTGAAAATGGCATGTAAGGAAGGACAGTCCTTTCAGAGTTCATCGAAATCATGCCAGTCTTACGTTACATTTTGACATCGAAGTTTCAAAGAAAGACTCCTCACTAAAAAAGAAAGTTACGAATTATCAGTTAGAAGCTCACCTGGTCTAGCTTGTCGAGATGGCCCATCTCAGTCAACCCGTATCTAAGCACAAACACACAAACACGACAGGTCAGGTCCCGTTGATGGCTAAGCCCACCGAACAAGTTACATCAGCGTGTGTGACAAGTGCAACAACGCAAAACATATGCTAACCCCAATATGACAAAGAATTAAGAAATAAACATGGCAGAAGTAGCGGCATCTTGTACTAGGCAAAAAATAAGCATGTTGCGTAATAAACCAATGTGACACTATAAAAACCAATGACGAAACATGTCCCAATAGCATAGCACCATAACAAACGTAACAAGCATATGCCTAGCGCGGGGACTGCATGCTACATACGGTGCCAAATTAAGACCCCACACCAGCAGAACGGCCCGACAGAACAGCCACTGTATGGCGCCTTCGCACACTCAAAACACGCTAAGGTCAGTTAGTTGACGGCAATCGGTTCGTGCATGCCGCGAAGGAAGGGGCCGTTAGAAATCATTGTATGACTGTGGATTGATTTGAGAGACAAATTGCTTTGGTATATTTAGTAAATGTATCTTCGTCAAGGATAAAGTACATCTTCAATATTTTCTTTTTTAGACGGGCAGTGACCTTCAGTCGGTCAATTTGTAGTGCAGAATTATTATATTTCCATTTTAATACCGACGTTTCCCACCAGTCATCCAACACTAGCATACTAGAGAATGTTACGATTTTCATCCTCGATGTTATGGATGTTTTCATTTGTTAGCTCAAGCTTCTGGAATCAATATAAGGGCATTGTCGTATTGTGTTAGGGTACCGATGGTGTAGGTTTCCACCCTCGCCCCAGTTTGCTCGCAAGTAAGCATTTCACATACGTCAGAAACAATCAGTGCACAAGAATGTTACTTTTCATAGATGTTCTATGTAAACAAATGTCACTGTAACTGATTGTTCATGGTGCATGTAATCATGAGTAGTTGTGTATTCAAGCCCCAAAGATGGGCTATGATTATTGAAGCAGCATACTTTTATCCAACCGAAATGAATAAAAGGGTTACGTAAAGCATGTGCGTGGATCACAGACAAAGAAATGCCGTGCATGTCTGCTCCCCCAGTGTTCAGTCATTCTGGACAGTAGAATAGATTTTGAAGTTATGAATTTTCACCTTCCTACCGCATTACATCTAGTTGGCATGAGCTTTCAGGGTTCTCTAAAGTATTCGCACAACCACCCAAAAGCCACCAATCCTGGTACATAAAGCTGTCTTTTCGAAGAGCATTATATCTTCGATCATTCTTTCGAGGGTTCGATGTGACGGGGATTCAATAACTAACAAAACATCTATTAATGTTAATTATTTGATTATGCATATTGCATGCCTGCCGAATTATTGCAGTTGCCTACTATATTTACGAGATGCGACCCCAAAAACAGTGCTCATTGTCACAATGTGCACAAACCAGGGGTAAAACTCAGCGGCAAAGTTAATATAAATATAGAGTAGCAAACTTCATACTTTTTTGCTTAGCAAAACAAAATATCTCGATAATTTCATCTCGCGAAACTTCAAACCGGAACTCAAGGGGTTACAAAAACTGTCTCATTGAATATTGTTGTGTCCAAGACAACAATCATACTCCCGTACCAAACTTTTGTTAATGTCATGACTTGAGTGAAAGTTAAGAGGCTCGGACTGAGCACAGTCTGGGATCTGGGATCCACGCACGTGCTTCACCAGTGGCGGGAACGTGCCGCGCGTGGCCCGGTGACGGCGTACCTATGCATATCGGTCGACACCACGGACATGCCACTCCACCCGGAGGCGATAACGTTCGCCTCCACCTGGTAAATGGTGTCGGACAAATCGCAGGCGAAATAGTCCACGCGCAGAAGGCCCAGCGTGATCGGCTGAAAGAGAACGGGCTTCAGTGGCGTCGCCTCGGGGCGGCACGAGGGCCAGAAGCACCCGCGAAAGCCGCTGTGTCCCGCTCAGATAACACCACAGTCGTGTAGGCAATGTGCTGGGAAATCGGTACTGAGTGTGCTCCTCAGTCATACACCGTGTGTGTCGAACTCATTGAGGATTGTCTGTGCATTCATGCCACAGACTGAGTGCTTCCACTTCCATCTATGCAAAATGAGTGTTCCGCGGAAGCCTTTCAACGACGTTAGTCGCATAAGATGGTAATGGTATTGGTCAAAATTCATTTCAAGCTTGTTCTGTGCTTCTCTCCTATTAATGCTGTATCGCTGTGTTACCTAGCAACAAAGTGTCATTAGACAGTGCTCTAGGATAAACTATGTGTTTTTATATTTGTTAGATGAGTATGCAGTCCCAATTCTGAGGTCCTTGGGTTTGTAACCTGACGTATGTGGGCATGTTTGTATTTCCCAATTGGTTTAAATTGTACCTGCGCGTAATTTAAGCACACATTGGGCCGCCGCCGTCACTGCAACAACTTTCCATTGGCAATGAAAATATTTATTTATAATATTTTATAGTAAGAACTGAAAATATTTTTTCGCGTAATTTTTTTCGGATTTTTTTTTTTTGGAAATATATTTTCGCCACTATTTGTGAAATGAAACTCTGTATCTGCTCTGTATGTGTTTCTGTGTGTTTGCACCGTGCAGAGGGGTGCTTTGACGTCGTGCGCAGGTCAAACGGTGCGTTGGATGGGGCTGAAATTTTCGCAGGGTGTTGATGACGTCACGCGCACGTGCAGTGTCGAGATGCGAGTCCCGGGGGGTGGATGGTTTGCACGTGGCACGCGCTGGAAAAGTGGGTATTTTTTCAGAATTTTGTTCGGTCTTCAAGGCATCGGCAGCCGGGTTCAATCGCCTTTGACAATAAAATGCACGACGATCGGCGGCGGGTGCCTCTCATTTGCAGATTGGCAAGTTATGTATTTTGAAAAACAGAGGCGAATGAAGGTGTTGCTTTTCGGTAAATAAAAACAGTTTTCAATGCGCTTAACCAAATGCACCGCGTTTGCCGCAATGCGCCACATTTGTCACAAAGCGCCATTTTTTGCCGCAAATCGCACAACTTTGTCAAATATGGTCTTTGACGGTGCTGGAAATATTTTTTATAGTAAGTTTTCCGATGGCCCCGGTTTCTGGTTTGAATTTCACACGCCGAGCGTACCCAAGATGAGCGTACCTACATCCTTTTTGCCTTCATTTATCCACGTCTACCGCCATAATAGGTATAGAAACAGCATACTGGGTGGAGACTTCCATTTAGCGTCTAGCTAGACGCGTCTAGCTGGACGACGGCTGCGTCTATACGGCGACAGCTAACTTTAGACGCGTCTAGCTTGGAAGTCTCCGTCCAACAGTTAGACGCCAAGTTAGACGCCAAATTGACGTCTGCTCAGTTAGACGCCAGTTGGACGCCAGTGGAAGTCTCCATCCACTGTGTTTCATGTCGCGAACAGCAGCATGCAAAATGTTTATGTACGGCTCTCCAGTAAAAGTCTTGTTGGTTTTGCTTTTTCGGACATATCTGGTCCTATATAATGTTCAAATGCATAAGTATCAACCCGAATTGTGTGTATGCACATTTACCACGAGACTGTGAAATTGCATCGTTGTATGCCAAATACTTTCCGAGATATTCACCAAAAACCTCATTTTCTGCCGTTTGGGGTATTCTGGCCGCAATCTTCCTGGGATCGCCTATGACATCAGTAGAGCCATCTAACGAGAGGAACGCAGAAACACAGAATCATGAATGAATCGAGCGCGTAGTAAACGGTGTATGAAAGGGAGACTCGGCAGAGGCTATCCGGGTGGCCGGCGCGCGGCGCGCCCTTAGGCATCGGCCGACCCTTCGGACCGCGTGGGGTCAGAGGTCGCGCTCGGGAAGTCTCGGCTCTGGGTTTAAGCGCTGTGCAGTCAGGAAGGGAGGATAGGATAGCGCTAGCCCGACTGACTAGTGTCTCGGCTGATTCGTGTGGGGTGGAAGGGGGCACAGAACGGGATAGTGGCTAGTGGTGGATGATGGGATGGTGGTTAGATTAGTGCGTACTGCGTAGAACGTAGCTGAACATGCATTTTTTTTTCATGGCAAACAACATGCAGCACAATGTGCGGGATTATGCCAGAACTCATACAAAAGGGTAATAATATTTCGGCCGAGGGAGTGGATCAGTGCCATGACAAAGCATGACGATGCTGCCAAAATCGGGATGCTTTTTTGCCCCCATTTTTTACCCCTAACATGCAGCGCTTAATCCGAACTTAGAGGTCCCCGACTGACCTTAGACCTTAAAATCGCACCTGTCCGGTGCGCCACCTTTTCTTAAGGGGCGCTCTTCTTGGTTGTATCTGTTCTTACCAATAACAAAAGCAAATCGAATGTATAATAAAAAGGCATACCTCGAACACAGTTTTATTCACACCCGCTCGTGTGCATACTTGTTTTGACCTATACCTTGTCGCATCATATCACTTCAGTGCTTAACCCTCAACGGAATTTTGGGTTTTCTGCATACGAGTATACCCCGGCCGAGGTGATTGCAACCCCTCTCCGTCTTTTTGCCCCTAATTGAGCTAGCGCCTTGCGAATAAAACTGAGCGCGTGCGTCGTATGAGATGCAGCAACTGGTACCCGATTTGAATGTCTCGGGTCAACCGATAAACTCTGAGGTTGCAGCTCAAAGTCGCGGGATCGGTATTTGGTAAACAACTTCGCCACTTAAGTGGCTACAGAGCCAACATTATGGCACCATCGAGTTTTGCATGCTCTACTTGAAGCGCGTCGAATAGTATACGCTTTGTTTTCGTTGAGGTCAATTTAAGGCATGTTCACATCAGGTCATGGTCAGGGCAGAGCCACTCAGGCCACGAAGCTGGCCCAAGGAGGTCATATATGTAGCTTCTTCGATTCGGTAGGTCCTCACAAGTCCACTGGTGGCTTCCCGACTCTCTAGCTCAATTTGATCGGGACTTTTTGGTGAAAACTCCTGTGACCATAGTGACGTCATAAATGAAGTCGCCTAACTTTAAGAATGGAAAAGTGAATGCTGGGGCTTACAAAAATTGTATCAAAGCGCGA